ATCGCTGCAGAATGCTGTGGTAGCCATGCTGGTTAAGTGTGCCTTGAATTCCTGTGTGCCTAAATTAATCACTGACAGTGTCACCAGCAAAGCACCCCCACACCATCACACCTCCTCATCAATGCTTCACGGTGGGAACCACACATGCGGAGATAATCCGTTCACCTACTCTGCGTCTCGGCGGTTGGAACCAAAAATCTAAAATTTGGACTCATCTGACCAAAGGATAGATTTCCACCGGTCTACTGTCCATTGCTTGTGTTTCTTGAACAAAGCAAGCCTCTTCTTCTTATTGGTGTCCTTTAGTAGTGGTTTCTTTGCAGCAATTCGACCATGAAGGCCTGATTCACGCAGTCTCCTCTGAACAGTTGATATTGAGATGTGTCTGTCACTTGAACTCTGTGAAGCATTTATTTGGGCTGCAATTTCTTAGGCTGGTAACTCTAATGAACTTATCCTCTGCAGCAGAGGTAACTCTGGGTCTTCCTTCCTGCGGTGGTCCTCATGAGAGCCAGTTTCATTATAACGCTTGATGGTATTTGCGACTGCACTTGAAGAAACGTTCAAAGTACTTTACATTTTCCATATTGACTGACCTTCATGTCTTAAAGCAATGATGGACTGTCATTTCTCTTCGCTTATTTGAGCTGTTCTTGTCATAATATGGACGTGGTCTTTTACCAAATAGGGCTATCTTCTGTATACCAACCCTACCTTGTCACAACACAACTGATTGGCTCAAACACATTAAGAAGGAAAGAAATTCCACAAATTAACTTTTAACAAGGCACACCTGTTAATTGAACACACCACGCTTGGCGATTTCTTCATAGAACAACTATGAGAAGGTCAGTTCTGGAGTGCGTTAAGATCGATTGAACGTTTGCTACGTTGCATAACGGGTTGTACTGAACGACACGTTTCCTCCAAAGACACGGTTCCTCCAAAACATCCTTCAATGTTCTTGAACAGACTTTGAGGTAGCCTACATGTTCTTCGTTTGGTGGGTGCGGCTTGAAGCAATTAGTGACGTATTTGAAAGGCAGTGGTGCATTTCGAACACCCAACCTCTCCCCATTTTTTAACTGGTCATTCAGAACAGCACTGTTTCCGTTTAATTGAGCGTTGCATCACGTGTTTTTCCTACTCCATAATTAATAAAATGATGGTGACCATTAAAATATGATTTTCCCCTGCAAAAATGAGCCTAACAACATATTGGTCCATATTATCAGGCTGGTGTGTTAATAAGCATTATCACCTGTAGCCCAACTGATGCAGCATAGTGGTTATGAATAAATCAATAGGCTGAAGCATGGGGTTGCCCATCTGTATTTGTGCTAATCATTAGCTAGATCAGTGCTTCCCAAACCTTTTCTGTTATGGCTCCCTTTCATCATGGGGGAACATCAGATGAAACCATCTTACTGCTGTGCAACGTCACTTGCGTCCCTATCAATGAAGACTAGGGTTGGCCAATTTATTTTGTAGATTTTCTCAATTGAAATACAATATGGTGGTTCTGGAAGTATTCTGCATGAACATGATGAGTGCTCTCCCCCCACAATTCTGGCCTTCACATTTGGTTTCTAAACATAATTAAGGAGGATAGGTTGCTGCTGATGTTCAGAGTCTGTGAGACAGGCAGGCTGCCACTGACTGGGGAGAGAAACAGGCTTGCTTGAGAATACTGCCTGAGGTTCAGAGAAACATCACTTCTCTAATTCTGTAGCCTACTAAAAACCAGTTTCAAAGTTTATAATAATACCAAAGTTGTCTTTAAACTCACAAAATTGAGCCCAATATAACCGTTACCAATTATCACTTGTTTTGAGAAATATCACTCACACACGAGATGCGCATCTCGCCACTTTCCAATAGAAACTTTCTCCATTTGAAAAATATCATTTTCTATATTATTCTTATTCGTGCTTGTGAATTTACCATGTTAAATGTGACTGTACTTCTTTATTTGTTACACGTTAGCTCACAGAATTAAGGGTTTTGTTAAGAAGAGAGAGGAGAGAGAGAGAGGAGCTATTGCACCATTCTTCTTACAAGCCTTGCGCAACTTTTTTTACCCTTTACAAACCGCGGCCTCTGAGGACCGGGCCAAACCAAAAGCATAATTGGTGGCGGGGGGATCCAATCATAAAATGAGGAATTGAGTAGTACTGTGTAGCGTAAAGCCAATCCATCAAATTCATCATGATATATTATAGAGGGGGTCAAATTGTCAGGTGCTAAAAAATGTTTGCCTAAATCAGTTTAGATTACAGATCAACAGTGACAGATAGTCCATCACAAAACCATAACTCTGCTTCCCTTCATGTAGTGTATAAATCCACTGGAAACTCACTGTTAGTCAGGGGATCCTAAACTCACAGCTTGCTTATAAGCCTGCTGAGGAGCTATCAGGCCATGCCAAATATCTCATACCCACTGTCTGTCACACAAGGGTCTCATTGCCTCAATAGGTTTAAATCCTGTACATTGACATTAGCCTACACTTCAATCAATCACATATTAATCCTTTATGCTTCAAACCCAGTCATTTATCTGACCTTGTCTTAACATTGCAGCCAGACTTCAATTTAAATACCATCATCCTAATTACACTGTTTCATTTCGGTTCAGGCCTACTAATACAAATTCAGGAAATTCTTCCGAACCCTCATCCTCTCAGAATACATTTGTCCTTATTAGAAAACAGATGACTAGATCTGCGTCCTAAATGGAACCCTATCCATTTTGTAGTGCACTACTTTTGACCTGGGCCCATAGAGCTCTAGTCAAAAGTAATCCACTTTATAAGGAGTAGGGTGCCACTTGGAACACAACTTAGGTCTTTGAAAATGGTCTTTGAGGAAGAGGATGTATTTTCCCCTACATTTATTCCAGAAGGGTTCCAGGGAATATTGCTGGAAGGAATAGCAGCATTTAATTGCCACAGATTTTAAATTGAAATATGAAAATGAAGAAGCAGAAGCTATGTGCAAAACAAACAGACCATTGTGCCCTCTGGTCAGAGCAGATATGGCAAAGAGAGAACAATTATTTTATGAGTTTTATTCAATGCTTAGGTTTTACAGATTATTACTTTTCAGCCCCTCATCATACTTCATTATCATCCATAATACTGTACTTGGACTCGTTGCTCAACTCATTCCCTGCTGTCAGCACATTTGATAAAAATAGTGTTTGGTTTGGTGAAACCCAGAAAATCGTTTTCAACATCATTCAAGGGAGTTATGGAGGGAGGAGCTCTGTGAATAACCCTCATACTGCGTCAGTTTCTACTTTGACTCCCCAACAGCAACAAAGAGGCACAATAACAGTAGCCTGGTCCCAGATCTGTTTATCTGTCATGCCAAACAACAACCATAGGAGTATGCAAGAAAGCACAAATAGATGTGGGACCAGGCTACAGGCTAGATGTGGGACTCCATACTAGTTTATTTTTACACTATGTGGCTTCGTTCTATCTGCTAAATTCATCATCAAATGCAACATTTCTGTGAAATGCAGTGAATACACTAGAGAGCCATATATCTCTGATATATGCATGCACTCTGGTGTTTAGAAGTTAATGATAATTTATACTATAAATCATTTTTAAAGCTCTTTAGACCATTAATAAGTCTGTGATCTCCCTTAAGCAGTCGGAGAGAGAGGCCTGCAGAACTACCCTACAGGGTCTCAGTAGGAGTACTGATCTAGGATCAGTTTAGCCTTTTAACTCATAATGAATAAGAGAGGGGACCTGATCCCAGATCAGCACTCCTATTCTGAGACGCGGACCCAGGAGTGATTCAGAGTCTGGAGATGCAGTATTTCTTAGGCAGTAAAGCAGGAAACCATGCACAGCACACATACTTCCACACGCAGCATGTTTCCTCTTGGCATTTTTCTGATTACTACTTTTTCCTCTGATGGCTCTGAATGTCAGTACTCACTGACATTCAGCCCGGGTCTTAAAATAACTAGTAAACCAGATAGAGAAAGAGATTAATCTGACTTGTAGGCGGATGGTGGTGCAGCGCAATGGTATCAAAGTAATAAGGGATGTAATTGACAAAAAACTAATTTGCAGCTTATTTGACTTGAAAGATCAGCATACTAGAGAAGACATCAACACGGGGAAAGGGTAAGTCAACAACATCTAAACCAGAACAATCTTTAACCCGTATTTTTTTAAATTTTAATCAATATATTTCAAGGAAGTGCCGATCAAATATACTGTATGTTGGTAATAGAAATGTGAAATGGACTACGGAACACACAGTACATATTATTCTGAAAAATATGACATTTTCTGAAATGTAAATTAGACTGAAGGTATGCAACAGCCAGTAAGATATACAACAGTTTCTGTAATGACTTTCAAGAAAGAGCCTCCCAGCCAGAGCCTTAGATTTATACCAAAGCTCCAGCTTCATGACATAACACACAGCGGACTGATGGGGACCAAGATGCTGTTCAAAGCGCCTACAATTTCTTAGAATATAATAGAATTACTTGGAATATAATATAGCATTCTATTTCTATGAAAGCACCGTCCTCTCAGTAAACCAACCTGAACCTACACAACACATCAGCTTTCTCACACGTCCCAGATGTACTGTATAACTAAATAATCATGGTTCCTTCCATCTTAGTGAGAAATGATTGACAATGCACCATCAATTTAGTCTGCCGAACACCTAACTTTCGAAGTCCGCTCTCCCTACGCTGTGAGTCACGTGGGACGCGTCAGCCAGACTACCATCAATTGACAGCGAGCCAATGGTTGTATCATAAGGAGTTTAGAACCCTTACAGTGCAGCACTTGAAGGGAAAAGGACAGAGACAGATGGGACACTCTTTGGGAAGATAGACATACAGGGCCGGTTTCATGGACACAGACTTTCAATGGAGAATCTCCATTGAAAATGCTCTTTAGTCTAGGACTAGGCTTCATCTGTGTCCAGTGGTGGTAGAAGTATCCAGAATACTTACACAGTGTGGGCCATGCTGTCCTGCGGTTTCTCTGACTGCTCAGGGAACATTGGGTGAGGTGGCTCTCCAATGGGGACACAGCCCAGAGACTTACTGATGGCGTGGCTCAGCTTTTTAGCCGGAGACTTCTGTGAGAGAGGCAGAAACAAGATGGTGGACATTACATTCACTAACTGAAATTCCAGTTTACTTACCGAATTGATTAAAATGAAATGGAATTGACCCCAACGCTGTCTGTTATGTGGGAATTGCTTATAGAAGTAGTGTAAAGAGATGTATAGTAATTAAAATTCTTTAAAATATCCAGTTATATTGTGTAGTGCACAAAGAAGGGCCGTTGTGGTATCGGCTTGAGGGGGAATATACACTGTGTGCACAATTATTAGGCAAGTTGTATGTTTGAGGATTCCTTTTATTATTGAACAACTACAGTGCTCTCAGTCAATCCAACATGTTAATAAACCTCAAACCTGAATATTTTAGAAAGTAAAAGTGAGATTTTGGCTTTCTTTGGAGAATATCTATGTGTGCACAATTATTGGGCAACTATTAGTGTGCAGGAATTATTATGCAACTAAATGAAAAACGAAAAGTTCACCATCTCACTAATTTTATTTTCATCTGTTAGTGAGAATAATAAACAAACAACTCATAATTTACAAATGAACATAAAAAAAAAATCTGTGACCAATATAGCCAACCTTCTTTTCAATAACAGTCATAAGCCTTCCATCCATGGAGTCTGTCAGTTTCTTGATCTGTTGACAATCAACTTTTTGTGCAGCAGTGACCACAGCCTCCCAGACACTGGTCAGAGAGATGTACTGTTTTCCTTCACCGTAAATCGACCGTTTAAGAAGGGACCACAAGTTCTCAATAGGGTTTAGGTCAGGTAAGGAAGGGGGCCATGTCATTATTCTTTCATCTTTAAGGCCTTTACTGGCTAGCCACGCAGTGGAGTACTTCGATGCATGCGATGGAGCATTGTCCTGCATAAAAATCATGGTCTTCTTGAAAGATGCAGACTTTTTCCTGTACCACTGCTTGAAGAAAGTGTCTTCTAAAAACTGGCAGTAGGTTTGGGAGTTGAGTTTGAATCCATAATAATAATATATCTTCAACCTGAAAAGGTCAAACTAGCTCATCTTTAATAATACCAGCCCATTCCAGTACCCCACCTCCACCTTGCTGGCGTCTGAGTCGAAGTGGAGCTCCGTGCCCGTTACTGATCCAGCCACGGGCCCATCCATCTGGTCCGTCAAGAGTCACTCTTCATCTCATCACTCCATAGATATTTTTGGCCCAGTCTTGACATTTCAACTTATGTGTCTTGTTCAGTCGGGTTTCAGCCTTCCTTACCTTGGCCATGTCTCTGAGCACTGAACACCTTGTACTTCTGGGCACTCCAGGTAGGTTGCAGTTCTGGAATATGACAGCACTGGAGGTTAATGGGTTCCTGCTACAGTGAGGGAAAAAAGTATTTGATCCCCTGCTGATTTTGTACGTTTGCCCACTGACAAAGACATGATCAGTCTATAATTTTAATGGTAGGTTTATTTGAACAGTGAGAGACAGAATAACAACAACAAAATCCAGAAAAACGCATGTCAAAAATATTTTAAATTGATTTCCATTTTAATGAGGGAAATAAGTATTTGACCCCTCTGCAAAACATGACTTAGTACTTGGTGGCAAAACCCTTGTTGGCAATCACAGAGGTCAGACGTTTCTTGTAGTTGGCCACCAGGTTTGCACACATCTCAGGAGGGATTTTGTCCCACTCCTCTTTACAGATCTTCTCCAAGTCATTAAGATTTCGAGGCTGACGTTTGGCAACTCGAACTTTCAGCTCCCTCCACAGATTTTCTATGGGATTAAGGTCTGGAGACTGGCTAGGCCACTCCAGGACAAACGTACAAAATCAGCAGGAGATCAAATACTTTTTTCCCCTCACTGTAGCTTCATATTTGATTCTTCTCAAATCTTTGGCAGTTAATTTGCATCTTTTTTTCTCAACACGGTTCTTGCGACCCTGTTGACTATTTGCAACAAAACGTTTGATGGTTCTGTGATCACGCCCCAATATCTTAGCAATTTCAAGAGCGCTGCATTCCTCTCAAATACTTTTTACAATTTTTGACTTTTCAGAGTCAGTTAAATCTATTTTTTGGCCCATTTTGCCTGAGGAAAAGAAGCTGCCTAATAATTATACACACCTTGATATAGGGTGTTGATCTCCTTAGGCCACACCATCCCTCATTACACAAATACACATCACCTGATATGCTTAAATGAGTATTCCAGTTCATACAGCTTGGAGTTGGGAAATATGCATAATAATGATGATATGGTCAAAATACTGACTTGCCTAATAATTGTGCACACAGTGTACACAGCTGTGACTATAACCGAAGAGAATTATCTTGGGAGGTAATACGGTCGGCATTTGATTGTGAGGTATTCTAGGTCAGGTGAACAGAAGTACTTGAGTTCCTGTACGTTATCACAATCACACCATGAGTAGTTAATCATGAAACATACACCTCCGCCTTTCTTCTTCCCAGAGAGTTCTATATTCCTGTCTGTGCGATGTACTGAGAATCCAGCTGGCTATATGGACGGGGACAGTATAGCCGTAGAGAGCCATGATTCCGTAAAACAGAGTATGTTACAGTCCCTGAAGTCTCTCTGGAAGGAGATCCTCGCCCTGAGCTCGTCTACTTTATTGTCCAGGGACTGAACATTAGGGAGTAATATACTCGGAAGCAGTGGATGATGTGCATGCCTCCTGAGTCGGACTAGAAGTCTGCTCCTAATATCTCTTCTCTGCCGGTGGCATCTTGGAGCAGCCTCTGGGATAAGATCAATTACCTTGGGGGGTAAGAAGAAAGGATCCAATTCGGGAAAGTTGTATTTCTGGTCAGAATGCTGGTGAGTTACCGCCGTTCTGATATCCAAAAGTTATTTCCGGCTGTATGTAATAACACAAACGTTCTGGGCTAATAATGTAAAAAATAACAAAAATAAAAAAGGATACTGCAAAGTTACTTAAGAGCTAGAAGCAGAGCTTCCATGTCTGTCGGAGCCATCTTACTTCATGGTCCACCCACACAGACAGTGTGGTGAAGAAGGCGCAACAGCGCCTCTTCAACCTCAGGAGGCTGAAGAAATTTGGCTTGGCCCCTAAGACCAACAAACTTTTACAGATGCACCATTGAGAGCATCTTGTCGGGCTGCATCACCACCTGGTATGACAACTGCACCATCCGCAACCACAGGGCTCTCCAGAGGGTGGTGCGGTCTGCCCAACGCATCACCGGGAACACACTGCCTGCCCTCAAGGGCACCTACAGCACCCAATGTCACAGGAAAGCCAAAATGATAATCAAGGACATCAACCACCTGAGCCACGGCCTGTTCACCCCGCTATCATCCAGAAGGCAAGGTCAGTACAGATGTATCAAAGCTGGGACCGAGAGACTGAAAAATAGCTTCTATCTCAAGGCCATCGGACTGTTAAATAGCCATCACTAGCCGGCCTCCACCCAGTACACTACCCTTAACTTAGTCACTGTCACTAGCCGGCTACCACCCGGTTACTCAACCCTGCAACTTAGAGGTTGCTGCACTATGTACATAAACATGGAACACTGGTAACTTTAATAATGTTTACATACTGTTTTACTAATTTCATATGTATATACTGTATTCTAGTCAATGCCACTCCGACATTGCTGGTCCTAATATTTATATATTTCTTAATTCCATTATTTTACTTTGAGATGTGTGTATTGTTGTGAATTGTTAGATACCACTGCACTGTTAGAGCTAGGAACACAAGCATTTCGCTACACCCGCAATAACATCTGCTAAATATGTGTATGTGACCAATAACATTTGATTTGAAGAATGACAAGATTGGTTCATGCAAAATGGGACCAAATACATAGTTCACTTTGCTTTGTCATAGATTTTTTGTCTGACAATTACCAAGCCCTTTTTCTATTTCCAAATATGCTCAGACATTTCATTCCAGTCACGATGCCCTAAAAAATAAATAATCATCACCATCCTTATCGCGGGCACACAGAGAGTTCAGTATTGGATTTGGAACCAGCGCAAATCATTTCCCCAGCTTGAATTTACATCACACTGATTGAGAATTGGGAAAATGGTGGAATTGGCATAGCATTGGAAATTCAATTTAATTAGCTGAAATTAGTAAAAACCCATAAACTCCCTTTCAGAATATTAAAAAAAAGGTTTGTTCATGTGGAAACAAGCCCAATGCTCTGCTATGTAACATGTGTACTGTTTACACCTGTTGTATCCTGTATCCTGTGCACATGGTGAATAAACTTTGTAACTTGAAACATAATGCATGCAGGTAGCTATTGGATTGTCCGAGCACAAAAGAATGATGAATCTTGGTATTCGTTAAGATGAAACGATTATAACTTATCTTTGGTGTGTATGAGTGTGATTGTGAGACATGGGCTCTTTCTCAATTGTCTTAAAAATCTGTAATCTCCTCTTCTCCTCGCCTCCCCTCCTTTCTTGTAGTGATCTGAAAGAACTGACCAGGTGAAAAGCCAGCCTAATGATGTGCTTCCACCTTACTATTTTCACCTGTCAAGTAGGGCCGGGACTATACCAGTATCGCGATAGCCATTTGTATCGTGGCAAAGAAACAAAACACAAAGCGGATTTAACTTCTTCATCATTATGTTGTCATCCAGAGTCATATTTATTTATTTTCTAAGCTATAGTACACAATATTTTACATACAGCAGGTTTTTAAAGGACCAAATAGTTTGGCCTGCTTCGTGTTTTCATTCTTGCCATGGAAAAAATACTGTTATACTTGGATCGTCACAGCCCTACTGTCAAGTCTTTTTCCAATCAGTGCAGATGAAGGGGAGGAGACGAGGAGAGGGATTTTAAAAACCAATTGAGATAGAGCCTTTGTGGTTGCTGTGCCTACCCAAGAGGAGTGCTCCTTCATTTGATGCTGGTTGCTATGGGGACCATTGGCATGGCCACGCCAGAAGCAGCTCTGACAGAGTTGGTAGCCATGGCACTGTTGGCACCGGTAACGGAATCCCATCATACTTTCACTCCGGCAATAGGAACATTCCACGGGATGGAAGACTAGAAGGAAACAACAGAGAAATGGTTCATAGGTCACTGATGTTGTCAGTTGAAATGTTGATACAGTGAGACATAACATATTATAAGATTTATTATAAGGCATTATAAAAGCACATATATGCTTATAATAGCATTATACCTACAGGTAAAAGTGTTACCACATTTGTCAATAGAAATGCTTAGATAGATTAGAATGACAATTACTGGAGTTTGGAGGCAAATTCACTGTGAAAATAGAGCCTAGAAGAAAACTAATAACAGGGAAACGTTACCATTTTCAACATTAGCGAGTCGGTGCATGAGAGGTAGCCACACGAGGCACTGAGGGGGAGGATCTGCCATCAAAATGTCCAAAAACGTGTTCAGCAAGATCTTCTTCTAGATACAAACACACCAAGATGCATTCAGTTATACAGAGATACCACACCACAATGCATTCATTGACAGAGGCACAGAGCGGGACAATTAAAATAATTCAACAAACAGATACAAACAGATGTGGATAAGGTTAATTGACAGACAGCAGAGCAGCAAGACGTTGTCAGACAGAATGCAAGTAGTAATGCTGCTGGCATTGACTCCATGCGTACGTCCCAAATGGGACCCTATTCCCTATGTAGTACACTGCTTTTGACCAGGGCCCATTGGGCTCTGGTCAAAAGTAGTGCACTGTATAGGGAATAGGGTGCCATTTAGGACGCATCACATAGTGAATGAAATGGACAGCACTGCAAAAGGTCATCTTCAATAATAGATTAACTTGCCCTGCTTATTGAGGATAACCTTTTATAATGCTGTCCATACATTTTTCTATTTTTGTGGACTATATTTACAAGGTTCTAGCACCCAACCAGGCTGTCAATCACACTTGTGCTAACCTGGACCACCTGGTAGGTACATCCTCTGTTAATCTCTCTCTCTTCAACTCTCTCTCCAACTCTCTCTCTCTCCCCCAACACTCTCTCCAACTCTTTCTCTCCAACTCTCTCTCTCCAAATCTCTCCAACTCTCTCTCTCCAACACTCTCTCCAAATCTCTCTCTCCAACTGTCTCTCTCTCTCTCCCAACACTCTCTCCAAATCTCTCCAACTCTCTCTCTCCAAATCTCTCCAACTCTCTCTCTCAACACTCTCTCCAACGCCCTCTCTCACTCCAACGCCCTCTCTCACTCCAACGCCCTCTCTCACTCCAACGCCCTCTCTCACTCCAACGCCCTCTCTCACTCCAACGCCCTCTCTCACGCCAACGCCCTCTCTCACTCCAACGCCCTCTCTCACTCCAACGCCCTCTCTCACTCCAACGCCCTCTCTCACTCCAACGCCCTCTCTACTCCAACGCCCTCTCCTCACTCCAACGCTCTCTCACTCCAACCGCCCTCTCTCACTCCAACGCCCTCTCTCACTCCAACGCCCTCTCTCACTCCAACGCCCTCTCTCACTCCAACCTCCTCTCACTCCAACGCTCCCTCTCACTCCAACGCTCTCTCTCACTCCAACGCTCTCTCTCACTCCAACGCTCTCTCTCACTCCAACGCTCTCTCTCACTCCAACGCTCTCTCTCGTTTATTATGTGTGAGCAGTGCACGTTGTATATAATTTCAGTGATAGAAACCCACTCCTGGCCAGGCCAACCTACCTGTTGAGGGAAGCATGTCCGTACGGAGTGTTCTGTGTATCCAAACGACGGGCCCTCGAACACAGCTGTGGGCAGCTTCAGAACCTCCCTCAGAAACTGGTCAAACTTAGCAAAGGCCATCACACCATTAGAGTCAGATATCTGGGAGAAGATATCTAAGAGAGAGACCAAGTGTGGTGGTGAGTACATCAGTGCCATTTACTGCCGCTAGTGAAAGTCTACACACCACTTGCACAGTCTTCACATTCTGCTGCCTTCAAATTAAATCTAAAAAGGGATTACATTAGATTTTACAAAATGTTCCAAATTACTAAGAAATATAAAATGAGGATGTTGATTGCGTATGTCTTCACACCCCAAAGTCAATACTTGGTGGAAGCACCTTTGGCAGCAATTACAGCTGTGAATCAATTTGAATAAGATTCTACCAACAATGCGCTCTTAGGGCAACATACAGGGGCGCAACTTTGGATTTAGAAGTGGGGGCGTCATAATATATATATATTTTTTTATCCAGTCAGATAAACACTCCAAACAGCCTACCCGACCGCTCGGAGGCGTCCGCATGGTCCTAAAGCACACCGTTGCCTCTTTTTGTATCATATTCCAATGATACATGTGATACATGTGGTCCTCTGTAGCTCAATTGGTAGAGCATGGCGCTTGTAACGCCAGGGTAGTGGGTTCAATCCCCAGGACCACCCATACGTAAAAATGTATGCACACATGACTGTAAGTCGCTTTGGATAAAAGTGTCTGCTAAATGGCATATTATATTATTATTATATAAAACTGGGGGGGACAAAAATGCAATTTCAGAATGTGGGGGGGACGTGTTCCCCCCGTCACCAGTGAAGGTTGCGCCCCTGGCAAAATATATCCATTATTTTTGTCAAAATTGCTCAAGCTCAGTCAATCTGGTTGGGAATCAATGATGGTCAGCAATATTCAAACCTTGTCTCTGATGTTTTAAGCATATTTAAGTCAGGACGGAGAATGGACCATTCAGGTACACTCGATACCTCTTGGAAAGCTAATCTGGTGTGTCTTTGGCATTAAAATGTGTGTAAATATCCCGCAGAAAAATACAACTCTATCCCAGGGTTTTCAGAAGACTGAGGCTGGTTTCCTCTAATTTGTTACCTGGTCTTTGCTCCCTTCATATATATTTTGATCCTAACAAACTCCCCAGTCCCTGCGGGCGAGAATCATACCCATAACATGACGCTGCCATCACAATACTTGAAAATACAAAGGGATCACAACATTGCATTCACTCTACATTACTGGCCTGTTTGACAAAGTGAACAAAAGGAAGTCTGTGTTAAAAAATCAAATCTAAATCATCCATTCTGTTTGCAACAAGGCCATTAAGTAATACTGCAAGACAACAAGGCAAAGACATTCACTTTTGGGCCTGAATTAAACTACAGGTTTGGGTCAAATAAAACAAAACAACAGAGTGAAACCCTCTGTATCTTCAAGTATTGTGGCGGCAACATCATGTTATGGGTATGCTTGTCACAGGCAGGGACTGGGGAGTTTGTCAGGATAAAAATAAATATGAAAAGAGCAAGCCCAATGTAAAAAGTTAAAAGAAAACCCGCATCACTCTTTTGAAAACCTAACCCTGGGATAGAGTTTTATTTTTCAGCGAAACACTAGCAATGTTACCATTCAACTGGCGACAGATTTTCATGTGAATAGGCTAAAATCCACATATAAACAATATGCGCATTTTCCCACCAGAGATGTGTTTCCATCAAATTGACCTGTTGTGGATAAAAGGCTGTAGGTGATTACGTAGTGCACATAAAAATTAAAAATACAAGTTAAATGGGTTTCCATCGCATTTTCAACTCTGATGGTTTTCTAATTTTTGTTGTTGTTGTTATATAATGAGTATGTGCCAACCAGGGGCGGTGTGTTCATTAGGGCGATTTGGGCGACGCACTGCCAAACGGGAAAAGGAAGGGATTTTTTTTCTAATCAATTATATCACGGCAACAGTAGTTATCAGTGTTCTAATCTAGACATCTGATCTGCCACTAAATGTCCAATCAGGCTAAAGTCATGCTTCAAATGGCCCTGCCCGTTTTGGGGCGATTTCAGTCAGGTTGAAAATCGCCCCAGAAGTCTCTCATAGACTCTCATGTAAAATCTTTTTTTTTTCAAATATCAGAGCTTTCAATACAATCTCTATGGGTTCCGGGAGGGCTTGCACTTACGCGCTTTCGTCATAAGTAACATAACCATGAACATAACTAAGAAAAGAGCGGGTAGCAGCGTCAATCAATTCACGTACTACTGTCAAGATGGCTAGCGTTCAGTGCAACTCGATTGTCTCTCTGAAAGAAGTTCCTTTTTGTCGGCGAACAAATCAAGATAAATTGGCAACGAAACAATTAGGACCTCCCAGACCAAATTTAATAATTCAACAGGTTTTCTACTAAAGGGGGAAAGTCCTACACCTGAGGATTTTCCAAAAATTGGTACGAACGATAAACCTGGCTAGCAGGCTGCGATGTAGCTAATGCAGTCTTCTGCTACCCCTGCTTACTCTTTCACCCTGAAGGCGGCACGGCAGACAGCACCGCTTGGACAGCGACTGGTGTAACGGACATGCACCATCTTTCAGAAAAGATTAAGAAACATGAGCTGTCAAAGACCCACATGGATAGCTGTTTGAGATTGTCTGCTTTGGGGAGAGTGAACATTGCCACTCAACTGGATGATGGATACAGGCTAGCTGTCCGCCGCCACAACGATGAGGTTAGCAAGAACCGCCACATCCTCAGCCGGCTAATCCAGTGTGTGAAGTTTTGCGGAGTGTTTGAGTTAGCTTTGCGAGGCAAAGATGAACTGAGGGCTCCACCAACCCTGGTATTTTTCTTGGACTTGTCAACTTTGTGGCACAATTAGATGAGGTGTTTGATGACCATCTTAAAAATGCTAAAGTTTTCAAGGGCACATCAAAGACCATTCAAACGAGCTACTGGAGTGTATGCTAGCGGTCATGAGGGAACATATTGTGGAGGAGGTGAAGTCGGCGAACTTCGTAGCTATCCAAGCTGACGAGACACGGACCGCTAGTGAAAGTCTACACAACCACTTGCAGTCTTCACATTCCTGCTGCCTTAAAATTAAATCTAAAAAGGGATTACATTAGATTTTACAAAATGTTCCAATTACTAAGAAATATAAAATGAGATGTTGATTGCGTATGTCTTCACACCCCAAAGTCAATACTTGTGGAAGCACCTTTGGCAGCAATTACAGCTGTGAATCAATTTGAATAAGATTCTAACCAACAATCCGCTCTTAGGGCAACATACGGGGCGCAACTTTGGTTTTAGACGTGGGGGCGTCATAAATTATATATATTTTTTTATCCATCAGATAACACTCCAAACAGCTACCCGACCGCTCGGAGCGTCCGCATGGTCCTAAAGCACACCGTTGCCTCTTTTGTATCATATTCCAATGATACATGTGATACATGTGGTCCTCTGTAGCTCAATTGGTATAGCATGGCGCTTGTACGCCAGGGTAGTGGGTTAAATCCCCAGGACCACCCATACGTAAAAATGTATGCACACATGACTAAGTCGCTTTGGATAAAGTGTCTGCTAAATGGCATATTATATTATTATTATATAAAACTGGGGGGACAAAAATGCAATTTCAGAATGGGGGGGGGACGTTTCCCCCCGTCACCAGTGAAGGTTGCGCCCCTGGCAAAATATATCCATTATTTTTGTCAAAATTGCTCAAGCTCAGTCAATCTGGTTGGGAATCAATGATGGTCAGCAATATTCAAACCTTGTCTCTGATGTTTTAAGCATATTTAAGTCAGGACGGAGAATGGACATTCAGTACACTCGATACCTTTGAAAGGTAATCTGGTGTGTCTTTGGCATTAAAATGTGTGTAAATATCCCCCAGAAAAATACAACTCTATCCCAGGGTTTTCAGAAGACTGAGGCTGGTTTCCTCTAATTTGTTACCTGGTCTTTGCTCCCTTCATATATATTTTGATCCTAACAAACTCCCCAGTCCCTGCGGGCGAGAATCATACCCATAACATGACACTGCCATCACAATACTTGAAAATACAAAGGGATCACAACATTGCATTCACTCTACATTACTGGCCTGTTTGACAAAGTGAACAAAAGGAAGTCTGTGTTAAAAAATCAAATCTAAATCATCCATTCTGTTTGCAACAAGGCCGTTAAGTAATACTGCAAGACAACAAGGCAAAGACATTCACTTTTGGGCCTGAATTAAACTACAGGTTTGGGTCAAATAAAACAAAACAACAGAGTGAAACCCTCTGTATCTTCAAGTATTGTGGCGGCAACATCATGTTATGGGTATGCTTGTCACAGGCAGGGACTGGGGAGTTTGTCAGGATAAAAATAAATATGAAAAGAGCAAGCCCAATGTAAAAAGTTAAAAGAAAAACCCGCATCACTCTTTTGAAAACCTAACCCTGGGATAGAGTTTTATTTTTCAGCGAGACACTAGCAATGTTACCATTCAACTGGCGACAGATTTTCATGCAAATAGGCTAAAATCCACACTCACTTTTTTTGTTGTTGTTTTATAATGAGTATATGCCAACTCTGGTATTGGCACGTGCGCTCTAGCCGACATCTCACAATACAGGGCGGGTATAGCCTACATGATGAGATTATTATGGAAAAAAAGAGCAAGATTATTTTTATTTGTCAAATGGCAGCCAAGCATTGATGATCATGTCACCAGAAGAAGACCCTCAATATTTATTGGAAAGGAGCATCAAGCTTGCACTTTCACCACCCTGTGAAGTTCATCATAACATACATTTGTTGCCCTAAGAGTTGTGCAAAATTGGTAGAATCCTATTCAAAATATTTCACAGCTGTATTGGCTGTCATAGGTGCTTCCACAAAGTATGTACGTGGTCCTCTGTAGCTCAATTGGTAGAGCATGGCGCTTGTAACGCCAGGGTAGTGGGTTCGATCCCCGGGACCACCCATACGTAAAAATGTATGCACACATGACTAAGTCGCTTTGGATAAAAGCGTCTGCTAAATGGCATATTATTATTATATTATTATTAACTCTGGGGTCTGAAGACATATGCAATCAAGACATCGAATGTAATAATTTTTTATTTAATTTTAAGGCAGCAAAATGTGAAGACTGTGAAAGCGGTGTGTAGACTTTCACTAGGCACTGTATATGCCATTTCTATAATTTATTGAATATGAGGTATGGGTGATACTTCTTCTTGACACTTCCATCTAATAAAATTACTCCAATTACAACGATGATGTTTGTGCTGTAATTGACTCAACAGCGCTCATGTGTGTATCATTTATGCAACTGCAGACAGGATCAAAAAGCAGATACTGTGGACCAGGGTTTCTCAAAATTGGTCCTGGGGCCCCCTGGGTGAACGTTTTGGTTTTTGCCCTAGCACTACACAGCTGATTCAAATAACCAACTCATCATCAAGATTTGATTGGAGGCTCCAGGACCGACTTTGGGAAACCCTGCTGTAGACTACATGTATTCAAGGGTCTCGTAAAGGACTTCCTTGTGTCTGATGCAAACGAATTAGCAAACTAAGCAATGAAAGTGTGACTACTGCAAAACAGAATTAACTTTCTATTAAGTTACTTTAACTGTAACTTATTTGCCCTTCGGCTAAATTCAAGGAGATTTACTTACAACGTAGTTTGTCCACTATTTTCCCTCCACACATGGTTGCCAACATAGACTTCATCGAGAAAACGGTCAGTTTCCCGTGGCCTTCACTAAACAAAAAAACAAAACAAAAAACATAATTTAGGAAAATATGTAACAAACGTATTGAAACACACATTGTTATCATTCTGATAAAGGTGAAGCATATTTCCCAAAGCAAATTCATTTTTTTACATTATCTGCTTTAGCATGCTGGTCACAATGTAGCACAAATAATTGGCACTTCTGAATCCATCTTGACCTTTACCATGTTGTCTGAAGGTCCAAAATCATAATTTCAAGGGGAGAGCTTTGAGTACAGTTCAGCATACTGATTAGCCCTGGAATGTATAGCGGTCATTTTACGGGTTCATAATGTTTCCGCCATCGTTTCCTATGATAAAAAAGAGCTTCTGGACATCAGAACAGCGATCATTAACCTTGATTTGTCTGAAGATTTCTACTTCACTGAGTCAGTGGCGCAGGACATACTGCTCACCGCAGAACAAGCCCTAATCCCCGACACTCGGAAGAGAAAGAGATGGTGATATAGAGGCCGATGTGTGGGCACACTGATGAAACTACGGAGAGTAAATAAACCCCCTCTACCATCTGTTCTATTGGCAAATGTACAGTTGAAGTCGGAAGTTTACATACACCTTAGCCAACTACATTTCAACTCGGTTTTTCACAATTCCTGACATTTAATCGTAGTAAATATTCCCTGTTTTAGGTCAGTTAGGATCACCACTTTATTTTAACAATGTGAAATGTCAGAATAATAGTAGAGAAAATGATTTATTTCAGCTTTTATTTCTTTCATCACATTCCCAGTGGGTCAGAAGTTTACATACACTCAATTAGTATTTGGATTTAACTTGGGTCAAACGTTTCGGGGAGCCTTCCACAAGCTTCCCACAATAAGTTGGGTGAATTTTGGCCCATTCCTCCTGACAGAGTTGGTGTAACTTCAGTCATGTTTGTAGGCCTCCTTGCTCGCACACGCTTTTTCAGTTCTGCCAACAAATTTTCTATAGGATTGAGGTCAGGGCTTTGTGATGGCCACTCCAATACCTTGACTTTGTTGTCCTTAAGCCATTTTGACACAACTTTGGAAGTATGCTTGGAGTCATTGTCCATTTGGAAGACCCATTTGCGACCAAGCTTTAACTTCCTGACTGATGTCTTGAGATGTTGCTTCAATATATCCACATAATTTTCCTTCCTCATGATGCCATCTATTTTGTGACGTGCACTAGTCCCTCCTGCAGCAAAGCACCCCCACAGCATGATGCTGCCACCCCCATTCTTCACGGTTGGGATGGTGTTCTTCGGCTTGCAAGCAACCTCCTTTTTCCTCCAAACATAACGATGGTCATTATGGCCAAACAGTTCTATTTTTGTTTCTTCAGACCAGAGGACATTTCTCCAAAAAGTATGATCTTTGTCCCCATGTGCAGTTGCAAACCGTAGTCTGGCTTTTTTATGGCAGTTTTGGATCGGTGGCTTCTTCCTTGCTGAGCGGCCTTTCAGGTTATGTCGATATAGGACTCGTTTTATTGTGGATATAGATACTTTTGTACCTGTTTCCTCCAGCATCTTCACAAGGTCCTTTGCTGTTGTTCTGGGATTGATTTGCACTTTTCGCACCAAAGTACGTTCATCTCTAGGAGACAGAATGCATCGCCTTCCTGAGCGGTACGACGGCTGCGTGGTCCCATGGTGTTTCTACTTGCATACTATTGTTTGTACAGATGAACGTGGTACCTTCAGGCATTTAGAAATTGCTCAAAAAGATGAACCACACTTGTGGAGGTCTACAATTATTTTTCTGAGGTCTTGGCTGATTTCCTTTGATTATCCCATGATGTCAAGCAAAGAGGCACTACGTTTGAAGGTAGGCCTTGAAATACATCCACAGGTACACCTCCAATTGACTCAAATGATGTCAATTAGCCTATCAGAAGCTTCTAAAGCCATGACATCATTTTTTGAAGATTTCCAAGCTGTTTAAAGGCACAGTCAACTTAGTGTAAGTAAACTTCTGACCCACTGGAATTGTGATACAGTTAATTATAAGTGAAATAATCTGTCTGTAAACAATTGTTGGAAAAATTACTTGTGTCATGCACAAAGTAGATGTCCTAACCGGCTTGCCAAAACTATAGTTTGTTAACGAGAAATGTGTGGCGTGGTTGAAAAACAAGTTTTAATGACTCCAACCTAAGCGACTTCCACTGTACAATCACTGGGGAACAAACTGGACAAGCTCCGTTCGAGACTATCCTATCAACGGGACCTGAAGAACTGTAATATCCTATGTTCATCAGAAACTTGGTTGAACAAGGACATGGATAATATTCTAGTTGGTTTTTCAATGCATCAGCAGGACAGAATAGTAGCGTTGTGTAAGCTCGAGGGTGGTGGTGTGTGTCCCTTTGTTAACAACAGCTGGTGCGCGATCTCTAGAGGCGAAACAATTCTAGATCACCTTTACTCCACACACAGACGCATACAAAGCTCTCCTTCGCCCTCCACTTGGCAAATTTGAACATAACTCTATCCTCCTGATTCCGGCTTATAAGGACAACTCAAACAGGAAGTACCTGTTCAATACGGTGGTCTGGTGAAGCTGAAGCTAAGCTACAGGACTGTTTCACTAGCACAGACTTGAATATGTTCAGAGACTCATCCGATGGCATTGAGGAGTTTACCACATCAGTCACCGGCTTCATTAATAAGTGCATTGATGACTTCGTCCCCACAGTGACCGTATGTACATATCCCAACCAGATCCATGGATTACAGGAAACATCCCCACTGAGCTAAAGGCTAGAGCCTTAAACAGGTTAACATTCACAAGGCCACAGTGCCAGACGGATTATGGTGGAGCATGCGCTGACCAGCCAGGCAAGTGTCTTCATTGACATTTTCAACCTCTCCCTGACCCAGTCTGTAATACCTACATGTTTCAAGCAGACCACCATAGTCCCTGTGCCCAAGAGTGCCAACATAAGCTGTCTTAATGACTATCGCCCCATAGCACTCACATCTGTAGCCATGAATTGCTTTGAGAGGCTGGTCATGGCTCAACACCATCATCCCAGACACCCTGGACCCACTCTAATTCGCATACCGCCCCAACAGATCCACAGATGACGCAATCTCTATTGCATTCCACACTGCCCTTTCCTACTTGGACAGAAGGAACACCTAAGTGAGAATGCTGTTCATTGACCACAGCTCAGCGTTCAACACCATATTTCCCTCCAGTCACTAAGCTAAGGACCCTTGGACTGAACACCTCCCTCTGCAACTGGATCCTGGACTTCCTGACGGGATGCCCCCAGGTGGTGAGGGTAGGCAACAACACATCACCACACTGACACTCAACATGGGGGGCCCCCCAGGGGTGCGTGCTTAGACCCATCCTGTACTCCCTGTTCACCCATGACTGCGTGGCCGCGCACGACTCCAACACCATCATTAAGTTTGCCGACGACAACAGTGGAAGGCCTGATCACCGACGATGATGAGACAGCCTATAGGGATAGGTCAGTGACCTGGCAGTGTCGTGTAAGGACAACAACCCCTCCCTCAATGTCAGCAAGACAAAGGAGCTGATCGTGGACTACAGGAAATTGAGGGCCGAGTACACCCCCATTCACATCGACAGGGCAGTAGTGGAGCGGGTCGAGAGTTTCAAGTTTCTTGTTGTCCACATCACTAAGGATCTATCATGGTCCAATCACCAACATAGTCGTGAAGAGGGCACGACAACGCCTCCTCTCCTTCAGGAGGCTGAAAAGATTTAGCATGATCCTCAAAAAGTTATACAACTGCACAATTGAGAGCATCATGAGTGGCTGTATCACCACTTGGTATGGCAACTGCTTGGCATCCAACCATTAGGTGCTACAGAGGGTAGTGCATACGGCCCAGTACATCACTGGGCTGAGCTCCCTGCCATCCAGGACGTCTATACCAGGCGGTGTCAGAGGAAGGCCCTAAAAATTGTCAAAGACTCCAGCCATCCAAGTCATAGACTGTTCTCTCTGCTACCGCACGGCAAGCAGTACCGATGCACCAAGTCTGGAACCAACAAGACCCTGAACAGCTTCTACCCCCAAGTAATAAGACTACTAAATAGTTAGTTAAATAGTTAACCAAATAGCTACCCTGACTATCTGCATTGACCCTTTTTGCACTAACTATTTACACTCAACACATACGCTACTGCTACTTTGTACTATTCGTCACTTTATTCCTAGTTATATGTACATATCTACCTCAATTACCACGTACCCCTGCACATCGATTCGGTACTGGTACCCCTTATATATAACCTAGTTATTGGGGGGTTGGGGGGTGCACACAAAGGCACATTCAACTAAAGTTCTACAGTTTTATAGATGTTACCCCAGAGGCAGAATTTAATTGCATATTGTTTACGGAACCGATTAGACAGCCTACTTTTAACACTGTCCTCGCTGTAACCTGAATGATTGTGTGCATTTATGTGAACAGTAAGCATACGCGACACTGTGTTGAATGCATGTACCCAGGAGACAGCGACCTTACCTTGGTCCAGGGTCAGCTCTGTCTTGACTACTTTGGGTCGACGAGCCCAAGCGGATTGCTATTTGTTCAGATGATGACGAAAATAAATATATACAGAAAGGAAAACTACAAACAGGCATGCCCAAAGTAAAGATTTAAAACCAAAACGAAAGGCCTCATGGCCACCAAACAAACCAGCAGCCTCACGGCTTGCAAGCTGGGACCCTGACTGACGATCACCTTAATTGGAAGCACCTGATGTGCTTATCAAGGCTTCCTGGCAGAGCACAGCCCTTGACCCGGTTGCTGCTTCCACCTGGGGGATGCAGTGTGGAGTGTGTCTCCTGGTAGAGTGTGTTGTCCAACTGTGCGCTAACACTAAATTCTAAATTGTTCTGTAAATAAGGTGTTGCACCATAGACATATCCATGCACTATATGTACAGCCTATGTCACTGTATAGCACTTTTCAGAAAGCACTTCAAAGCAAATGTATATATCTAATATCCTATATCAAATGTACTGTATATCCTGTGTCTCATCTACTGCACCTGTCGTATGTGGCCACCATGAAGTTGAGCAGCAGGCCGATGGACTGCTCTACGTTGATCTGGTGTGTGGTGGGCAGACGCTTATTGAGCTGGTAATATATAGAGGACAGGATAGTCTCCAGTCTAGACACGTTGATTTCTGCGTTGTGGTCCAGCGTGTTCAGACCGCTGTCACGGAACGCCTCAATCATGTTCCACACATCCACCAAGTGAACTGGGATAGGGGGATAGCAGGAGAGGAGAGGAGGAAAGAGGTTTAGAATAGAATCGATTTCTTCAACATCAATTAATTACATTCAAGTGTACCATATTTGAAACCAACACATGTAACACAGTGTCATTTTCAGTAGAGGAAACAAAACGAGCCAGGCAGGCAGTACTTACGGTTGCATCTCTTCTGCACAAATCTTAGCTTGCAGGCCGTCCTATAGGTTGACAGCCTGATGACGTCAAAGTTTTGTGCCCCTGATAAAAATAAAAAAGATGAATCAACAACTCTAACTCAACCACACACAAAACCCACTGCATGGGGAAGGGAGTGTGTGTGCTGTATGGCTTTGCTAAGACACAGCAGAGTGTGAATGTAATGGTTTGGCTCTGGAGACTTCTCTCTCTACTCACTCATCTCCATGAAGAGTTGTCTCTTCTCCACCATGGCTTTGCCTCGTTTACTGCCCTCCTCTATCATTCTGAGGGGAATAACAGGACAGGCAATAAGCACGCGTTCCCTTCTCATTATGTAATGACATCATCATTGTATACAATTTACATGATCAAGCTGTATTATCGGCCTTCACTGCCCTCCTCAATCATTCTGGGGAAAGAATAAAGCAAGCATTACTACCTACTCACTAAGTAATTACATAATTATTGCATACATTATCAAGAGTTTGTATAACATTGTATACATCAGACCTATTCCACATTTTGAGGAAAAGAAAACCGCAAACATGCATTACCAGTAATGATTGTATATCATTGTAATCATTTTATACATTATCAAGGTCCATTATAGTCATGTGAAAATAAAACATCTTATACATTTTTTACATTAAAGCTGCAATATGTAACTTTTTGGGAGACGCGACCAAATTCACATAGAAATGGGTGTTCTAGATGTGTCATTCTCATTGAAAGCAAGTCTAAGAAGCAGTAGATCTGTTCTATGTGCGCTATTTCTATGCTATGTGTTCTTAAGTTTCATTTTTGCGTCTTTTACTTTCGGTTTTGTACACCAGCTTCAAACAGCTGAAAGTACAATTTTTTCAGTTGAAAATATATTTCACAGCGGTTTAGATGGTACAATGATTCTCTACACTATACTTGCTTGTTTCGTCACATTAACAGAAATTAAGCAAACTATTCGAATTTCTGCATAGCGCATCTTTAAAGTTACATGCAGTATGTAAATCAAACTGATTCTGTTTACTCTATACATTGATCCCTCTAAGTATGTATACATCATATATGGAATGTTCAATAATGTACAACACATACCATACATTTAAACACACATTGTCTATGCATAAAGCTCAAGAAAACAGATGCTTTTGTCAGATGAAAAAGGTATTTACCTGTCGCTGGCTGAATTTTAAACAAAGTGAAGCATTAGCTGCTGCTGCCCTGTGAAGAGAATACAATATTATGTGTATCTGGTATGCTCTGTAGTAGTTAAAATAAGCAGTCATTCCAGACAAAATGGGCTTGACTTTTAAATTAGTCATTAATGCCCTCCCTTCAAGGACTTGATGAACGCTACAAAACATTGTGTTTTTTTCTTCCTCTAAAGAGATGTGTGCAATTTCACTGTCTGGCACAAGTGAACACTTGAGTGCTCCTGCTCTGTCTCTCTGAATGTGTCCCAAATGGTACCATATTCCCTTTACAGTGCACTACTTTTGACCAGGGCAGGGTGCCATTTAGGAAACACACCGTGTATGTACACTACAAATGATAATTCTCCATGAGATCGCCACTCAGCTAAGACTGCATCCGGTGAACTAATGACACCGACGGCCAGCCAGGGATGCAGACAGAGGAGACACTTAATGATGATGGACACAAAACACATTATAGCTATTCAATGACTGGTTCAAAAACCCGGGGAATGGCATGATAGGCTTGGATGGCATCAGACCTGGGTTCATAAAACTGACTATCCTACCGATCCTTGACTTCGGCGATGTCATTTACAAAATAGCCTCCAACACTCTACTCAGCAAATTGGATGTAGTCTATCACAGTGCCATCCGTTTTGTCTCCAAAGCCCCATACACTACCCACCACTGTGACCTGTACGCTCGTTGGCTGGTCCTCACTACATGTTCGTTGTCAAACCCACTGGCTCCAGGGCATCTATAAATCACTGCTAGGCAAATCCCTGCCTTATCTTAGCTCATTGGTCACCATAGCAGCACCCACCCGTAGTCTGCGCTCCAGCAGGTATATCTCACTGGTCATCCCCAAAGCCAACACCTCCTTTGGCCGCCATTCCTTCCAGTTCTCTGCTGCCAATGACTGAAACGAATTGCAAAAATTTCTGAAGCTGGAGACTCTTATCTCCCTCACTAACTTTAAGCATCAGTTGTCAGAGCACCTTACCGATCACTGCACCTGTACACAGCCCATCTGAAATTAGCCCACCCAAATTAGCACCCCAGTATCTCTATTTGCACATAATCTCTTGCACATCTAGCATTCCAGTGTTAATACTAATTGTAATTATTTTGCACTATAGCCTATTTATTGCCTTACCTCCATAACTTGCTACATTTGCACACACTGTATATATATTTCTCTTGTATTTTTTGACTTTATGTTTTTTTACCCCATATGTAACTCTGTGTTGTTGTTTTTATCGCTTTGCTTTATCTTGGCCAGGTCGCAGTTGTAAATGACAACTTGTTCTCAACTGGCTTACCTGGTTAAATAAAGGTGAAATATATATATATATATATAATGTTACTATTTGACATCTTTCAAATACTTTTAGCGTTTGCTCTAGCTTGCCTGGAGTGCCAGGTGGATGGGGCTTGCACTGATGGAACTTTTCTATTGGTTCCATTAAGTCAGGCAAGCTCAATCAAGCCCAGATAAAAGTATTTGAAATTATTTGGAATAATATTTGAACCCAGGTCTATACAGTACAGTATCACTATCCAATCACATGGCTGCCTACTGTGGCCATGGGGTGACGGACAAGCCAGGGATCAGCATTAGCTGACCAGTTGAGTGTGAGCAGTCAGTGGCTTGTGTCCCCAATGGTCCCTTATTCCCTTTATAGTGCACTACTTTCGACCAGAGCCCCATAGGCCCTCGTCAAAAATAGTGCATTATAGGGAATAGAGTGCCATTTGGGACGTAATCAGTGAAGCCAGCCAAGGCTGAACCCTCAGGAACTCTGTTGACATGGCCTTTTTATTCCCCCCTCCTCATTCGTGTGGCTGGAGAGCCAGGGTTTGCAGGGCCATATATTAAGACATATCCTAAACAAAAATATAAACGCAACATGTAAAGTGGTCCCATGTTTCATGAGCTGAAATAAAAGATTCCCAACATTTTTCATACACCCAAAAATTGTATTTCTCTCAAATGTTGTGCACAAATCTGTTTACATCCCTGTTAATGAGCATTTCAACTTTGCCAAGATAATCCATCCACCTGACAGGTGTGGCATATCAAGAAGCTGATTAAACAGCATGATCTTTATACAGGTGCACCTTGTGCTGGGGACAATAAAAAGCCACTCTAAAATATGCAGTTTTGTCACACAACACAATGCCACAGATGTCTCAAGTTTTGAGGGAGCGTGCAATTGGCATGTTGACTGCAGGAATGTCCATCAGAGCAACTGCCAGAGAATTTAATGTTCATTTCTCTACCATAAGCCACCTCCAATGTCATTTTAGAGAATTTGGCAGTACGTCCAACTAGCCTCACAACCACAGTCCACATGTAACCACGCCAGCCCAGGACCTCCACATCTGGCTTCTTCACCTGTGGGATCGTCTGAGACCAGCCACACGTACAGCTGATGAAACTGAGGAGTATTTCTGTCTGTAATAAAGCCCTTTTGAGGGGAAAAACTCATTCTGATCGGCTGGGCCTGGCTCCCCAGTGGATGGGCCTATGCCCTCCCAGGCCCACCCATGGCTGCGCCCCTGCCCAGTCATGTGAAATCAATAGATTAGGGCCTAATTTATTTATTTCAATATACTGATTTCCTTATATGAAATGTAAACTCAGTAATTGAGTTGGAAATTGTTGCATGTTGAGTTTATATTTTTGTTCAGTATACATACATTCACTACCGGTCAAAAGTTTTAGAACACCTACTCATTCAAGGGTTTTTCTTTATTTTTACTATTTTCTACATTGTAGAATAATAGTGAAGACATCAAAACTATGAAATAACACATATGGAATCATGTGGTAACCCAAAAAGTTTTAAACAAATATATTTGAGATTCTTCAAATAGCCACCATTTGCCTTGATGACAGCTTTGCACACTCTTGGCATTCTCTCAACCGGCTTCACCTGGAATGCTTTTCCAACAGTCTTGAAGGAGTTCCCACATATGCTGAGCACTTGTTAGCTGCTTTTTCTTCACTCTGCGGTCCGACTCATCCCAAACTATCTCAATTGGATTGCGGTCGGGGGATTGTGGAGGCCAGGTCATCTAATGCAGCACTCCATCACTCTCCTTCTTGGTAAAATAGTCCTTACACAGCCTGGAGGTGTGTTGGGTCATTGTCCTGTTGAAAAACAAATTATAGTCCCACTAAGCCCAAACCAGATGGGATGGCATATCACTGCAGAATGCTGTGGTAGCCATGCTGGTTAAGTGTGCCTTGAATACTAAATAAATCACAGACAGTGTCACCAGCAAAGCACACCCACACCATAACACCTCCTCCTCCATGCTTTACGGTGGGAAATACACATGCAAAGAGCATCCATTCACCCACTCTGCGTCTCACAAAGCTACGGCGGTTGGAGCCAAAAATCTCAAATTTGGAGACCAGAACAAAGGACAAATCTCCACCGGTCTAATGTCCATTGCTCGTGTTTCTTGGCCCAAGCAAGCCTCTTCTTCTTATTGGTGTCTTTTAGTAGTGGTTTCTTTGCAGCAATTCGACCATGAAGGCCTGATTCACATAGTCTTCTCTGAACAGTTGATGTTGAGATGTGTCTGTTACTTGAACTCTGTGCAGCATTTATTTGGGCTGCAATTTCTGAGGCTGGTAACTCTAATGAACTTATCCTCTGCAGCAGAGGTAACTCTGGGTCTTCCCTTCATGGCGGTCCTCATGAGAGCCAGTTTCATCATAGCGCTTGATGGTTTTTGTGACTGCACTTGAAGAAACTTTCAAAGTTCTGGACATTTTCCGGATTGACTGACCAACATGTCTTAAAGTAACTGTCGTTTCTCTTTGCTTATTTGAGCTGTTCTTGCCATAATATGGACTTGGTCTTTTACCAAATAGGGATATCTTCTGTATACCCCCCCCTACCTTGTCACAACACAACTGATTGGCTCAAACGCATTAAGACGGAAATAAATTCCACAAATTAACTTTTAAGAAGGCACACCTGTCAATTGAAATGCATTCCAGGTGACTACCTCATGAAGCTGGTTGAGAGAATGCCAAGAGTGTGCAAAACTGTCATCAAGGCAAAGGGTGGCTATTTGAAAATATATTTTGATTTGTTTAACACTTTTTTGGTTACTACATGATTCCATATGTGTTATTTCATAGTTTTGATGTCTTCAGTATTATTCTACAATGTAGAAAATAGTAAAAATAAAGAAAAACCCTTGAATGAGTAGGTGTGTCAAAACTTTTGACTGGTAGTGTGTGTGTGTGTATATATATATATATAGCTCTGATAGTTTCCCTACTATTTATTCTAAGATTGAGGCCCTCCTTTGCATATTGATCACTCACTGTTGTGATAATACTATAATGTTGTCCATATAATGTGTAATAAAGGGTTATTACATGATTATGATATGTAGTAAACAGGATGTAGAATGGTAGAAAACACAAGCTGAGCTCAGGAGGGAAACTAACAGAAGCAAGTCAGAAGAAATTGTACAATTGGCCCTCTGTAATATTCCACTATGAAGTAGGCCTACTGTAAGCTTGCCTGAGCTATTCATATGTAGGCAACTATTGCCCGAAATGAGGAACTGGTTAACCAAAACAAATACATTCTATTGATATTGAGGCAAATGTCCATCTTAGATTGCCCATTGTGAAACTGAATATAACTTATGAGGATATCAGAGCTTGATTGGTCTCTCGTGGACAGCAGTAACATAATACGCAAGATTTGGTTATGGGTTGCCGACATTATATTTTTATAAACCTTGGAAAGGCTATTTACATTGCACCTGTAGACATTAAAAGTAAATAAGCCTAATGACCTTTAGGTACTATATGGTGAATAATTAATAACTTCTGAGTTCCCTGGTGACAGGCCTGCAGGTGCACATTCATCAAATACAATTCAATTTCCAGATATGTTGGCTTAAGCTACAGTTTACTGTAAATAAGAATGGGCTACCAAGGCATCATAAGGTTAAAACAGAAACCTAAAATAGCAGTGGTGATGATGAAGCTATTTCATCTGCATTAGTAGGCCTATAGGCGATTTTAATATAAGGTAAACCTAAACAAAATGCAAATACAGAGATGATAGTAGGCCTATTGCCAAGCATTATGTCATTTCACAGGTTCCTTTTGGGAATTACTGAACTCAAGCCTATCACCCTCTATAGGAGCATCCCCGTACAAATACTAATTTAATAACTAGTAGCTACATGTAAATGATGTCATCGAATAACGCAGTGATTCTTCAAGCTATGCAAAAATATCCTGGATGTCTGAATGTGATTTAAATGTTTAAAGGGCGATTATTAAAGGTGCAGTATTCACCGCACCTTGTCGGGTATGTAGTTAATAATGACAACATCCTTTTACATGAGGCAAAAGGAGGACTAGGCCACTGCAGTGGCAGCTTTAGGGCTCGAATGTCTAAACATCACCCACTTCCGTCTCTGTTGAGCTGCTCAAACGCTCTCTGTGACGAACCGTTTAGCTTTACAAGACTTTATGCGTCTCAGGTCTTGAAGGAACCGCACCACCGACGTGGCCATTTGCGGTTTTAACTCCCAATTTACATTGTTTCTGCAATATGAATATATGCGTGCGATGTATCTTAAAGGAATATTCATATTGAGATGCTATGTGATAATTTCTCCTAAATATCTGCCCTTATAAATGTGTAGTGGCCTAATTTAGATGTTCCTTCTGCATTCTATAGGCTATTTAAATTAGAATGATGCATCTATTAGCCTTACCAGTAGGAAAATCACGCAGGTTGCGTTCATAGCACCATCATCATTATTAGATGATGAGGATAAGTAGTCAGGATATTTCCTTCGTGAATCATCACTGCGCTCAATCTCACCTTTGACAAATTTCACACGCTGTCTGTCTGCTGTCGTTCGTTTTTGCTGTCCGAGCAATGCCAAACGATTGAGATTATCTATCCATCGTTACATTTCCAGTGCGTTTCCAGTTCCATAGCCTACGACTCAGAATTGCGTTGGACGGTGGTGTCTCATAAAAATGTACGAGCGCGCGCTCTCTCCTCAGCATCATCAACGACCGAACAGCAGAGGACAGCAAAGCGCAGGCAAGCAAGAAGATGAGGCTGCGCGCGCATCACAAACGGCCCTACGCGCCTGCGCGAACGCTGGCAAGTGTAGCGCCAGGCGTCACTTGGAGACACACACAGTAGAAACCACTAAAGAGTCACGTTCCACGTTTGTTTATATATTTTATGTGCATAGTAATTATATGATTTGTGATAGTCAGCAGGTGTTCCATAATATTCCAAGCAATAATAGACAAAAAAAAATTATCATGCATAATATGGAAACGACATGCATCTGATTTGACTGGTGATTGTATCTTAGTGGAGTGTAAAAGCCTTCTGTAGTATTGTGATGTGGTACTGATAGTAGGCCTGCAGTGTAAATTGTACTAGTATTAGAGTAGAGTAGTCACTTACATACATACCAGTTACCGCCAGGTTCCTCTCTAGGTTTCTTCCTAGGTCCCTTCTTTCTAGTGAGTTTTTCCTGGCCACTGTGTTTCAGCTTTAGGGTTTAGGCCGGTTATCTGTAAAGCACTTTGCAACGACTGTTGAGGTAAAAAGGGCTTTATAAAATACATTTAATTTAATTGACATAAAAAAATTATGGCCCCGTGTAGCTCAGTTGGTAGAGCATGGCGCTTGCAATGCCAGGGTTGTGGGTTTGTTTCCCACGGGGGGACAGTATGAAAGTGTATGCACTCACTAACTGTAAGTCGCTCTGGATAAGAGCGTCTGCTAAATGACTAAAATGTAAAATGTAAATGTCACACCCAATCAAAATGTTTTCTCATTGTTATTTATTCATAATATATAGTTTGATAAAATACACTTTGTTTACAAGTGCTGATTACTATATTACATTCACCTGCATTTTAAAATGAAGACTTCCAATCTAAAAACAGCAAAAATGACACAGACTGAAGGGAATGCACCCTTCACAAGACAGACAGACATTTTCAAACCATAATTGGTTGCCTGATGACACTTAGGAAACGTTTCCTCCTAACCAAGTCTATCCTCACTCTTTACTTTTTGTCCTTAGGTTTAAAAATGGGATCTAATCAATATATCCCTCAGAATTTAGACTATCGATTGGTTAAAAAAGTCAATCATGGTTTGAGAGAAAGGACAAAGTGGAGTAGGCTACTGAATCAATAATTCAACGCTCTCTTATACTTTACAAGATGTCAGCTGCCTGTTTACAAAATGTCGGTAAAAACGACTTTCTCTTTGCAATCCATCACATACACAAGTCAGTTAATAGAACAAAAACAAAATTCATTACAAAAAAAACATCAATACTCAATACTAGATGTTGGGGAAACCAAATGAGACTAAAACATGTATTTATTTCAAATAAAATTAATACAATTTGATAGCCGATCAAATGAATTTACAAAGTTTGCAATGATAGATGTCAAATCATAAATATTGGGTCTCTTTTTATCTTTACAAGATACAGTTGAAGTTGGAGGTTTACATACACTTAGGTTGGAGTCATTAAAACTCATTTTTAAACCACTCCACACATTTATTGTTAACAAACTATAGTTTTGACAAGTCGGTTAGGACATCTACTTTGTGCATGACACAAGTAATTTCTCCAACAATTGTTTACAGACAGATTATTTCACTTATAATTCACTGTATCACAATTCCAGTGGGTCAGAAGTTTACATACACTAAGTTGACTGTGCCTTTAAACAGCCAGAAAATGATGTCATGGCTTTAGAAGCTTCTGACATCATTTGAGTCAATTGGAGGTGTACCTGTGGATGTATTTCAAGGCCTACCTTCAAACTCAGTGCCTCTTTGCTTGACATCATGGGAAAATCAAAAGAAATCAGCCAAGACCTCAGAAAAAAATGTGTAGACCTCCACAAGTCTGGTTTATCCTTGGGAGCAATTTCCAAATGCCTGAAGGTACCACGTTCATCTGTACAAACAATAGTACGGAAGTATAAACACCATGGGACCACGCAGCCGTCGTACCGCTCAGGAAGGAGACGCGTTCTGTCTCCTAAAGATGAACGTACTTCGGTGCGAAAAGTGCGAATCAATCCCAAAACAACAGCAAAGGACCTTGTGAAGATGCTGGAGGAAACAGGTACAAAAGTATCTATATCCACAGTATAACGAGTCATATATCGACATAACCTGAAAGGCCGCTCAGCAAGGAAGAAGCCACTGCTCCAAAACCGCCATAAAAAAGCCAGACTACGGTTTGCAACTGCACATGGGGACAAAGATTGTACTTTTTGGAGAAATGTCCTCTGGTCTGATGAAACAAAAATAGAACTGTTTGGCCATAATGACCATCATTATGTTTGGAGGAAAAAGCGGGTGCCTTGCAAGCCGAAGAACACCATCCCAACCGTGAAACACGGGGGTGGCAGCATCATGCTGTGGGGGGTGCTTTGCTGCAGGAGGGACTGGTGCACTTCACAAAATAGATGGCATCATGAGGAAGGAAAATTATGTGAATATATTGAAGCAACAACATCAGTCAGGAAGTTAAAGCTTGGTCGCAAATGGGTCTTCCAAATGGACAATGATCCCAAGCATACTTCCAAAGTTGCAAAGGACAACAAAGTCAAGGTATTGGAGTGGCCATCACAAAGCCCTGATGTCAATCCTATAGAAAATTTGTGGGCAGAACTGAAAAAGCATGTGTGAGCAAGGAGGCCTACAAACCTGACTCCGTTACACCAGCTCTGTCAGGAGGAATGGGCCAAAATTCACCCAACTTATTGTGGGAACCTTGTGGAAGGCTACCCGAAACGTTTGACACAAGTTAAACAATTTAAAGGCAATGCTACCAAATACTAATTGAGTGTATGTAAACTTCTGACCGACTGGGAATGTGATGAAATAAATAAAAGCTGAAATAAAAAGCTGAAATAAATCATCTATTATTCTGACATTTCACATTCTTAAAATAAAGTGGTGATTCTAACTGACCTAAAACAGGGAATTTTTACTAGGATTAAATGTCAGGAGTTGTGAAAAACTGAGTTTAAATGTATTTGGCTAAGGTGTATATAAACTTCCAACTTCAACTGTATGCACCCTCCATATATGAACCATTTGGCTGCATCCCAATGGCACCCTATTCCATATATAATGCACTACTTTTGACCAGAGCCCATTTGGGATGCAGACTTTGTGAACTTTTTGAGACTATAAAGAATCATGAGACTATAAAGAATCATGTGACTGTAAATGAAGACTACAACCAACTTTAAAACACTCACTCACTCACACACAAGGAGGCCTGGATCCAATCCACAGACCACTTACAAAATGGTGCCATGATATTGCATAGTTAACTTACAGGCATTCATTTTTCCCCAAATAAGCACATAATGCTGAAAATATGTGTTAGACAAAACAATGCCCCATATCTTTTTAACCAAAGTCGTTACAAGAGCATACAGTTCAGATGGTTAAAATATTCCAGGCAGGACTTCAGCGGAAAAGGACATGTAGATTTCCATAAAAATACATGGGTCATACAGAATCAGAAAATTTGGGGATGTTTTTTTGCTACAAAGGTTGTTGTGATCTGTCCACTCTTTCACACAAAAACATAAGAAAAAGGGACAGACAATATACACTCACCGGCCAGTCTATTAGGTTCACCACCCCGTTCACAAAAATGGATCGCTCCTACAGACAGGAGTCACGTGGCCTGCTATATAAAGCAGGCAGACAGGCATCCAGTTACTGTTCGATTGAACGTTAGAATGGGAAAAACAAGTGACCTAAGCGACTTTGAGTGTGATATGATCTTGGTATGATAGTCGGTGCCAGGCACACCTGATCCAGTATCTCAGAATTGTCCGCCCTCCTGGGCTTTTCAAACACGACAGTGTCTAGGGCTTACTGAGAATGGTGCAACAAACAAAAAATATCCAGTCAGCGGCAGTCCTGTGGGCGAACACAGCTCGTTGATGAGAGAGGTCGAAGGAGAATGGCAAGAATGGTGCAAGCTAACAGGCGGGCCACAAACAGACAAATAACGGAGCAGTACAACAGTGGTGAGCAGAACGGCATCTCGGAACGTACAAATCATCGACCCTTGTCACGGATGGGCTATTGCAGCAAACGACCACACCGGGTTTAATTCCTATCAGCTAAAAACAAGAAGAAGCGGCTCTAGTGGGCACGCGATCACCAACACTGGACAATTGAGGAGTGCAAAAACATCGCCTGGTCCGACAAATCCCGGTTCCTGTTGCGTCATGCTGATGGCAGAGTCAGGATTTGGCGTAAGCAGTATGAGTCCATGGACCCATCCTGCCTGGTGTCAACGGTACAGGTTGGTGGCGGTGGTGTACCGCCGTCCAATCTGCCGCAACTGTGTGATGCCATCATGTCAGCATGGACCAACATCCCTGTGGAACGTTTCCGACTTGTAGAATCCATTCCCCGAACAATTCAGGCTGTTCTGGAGGCAAAGGGAGGTCTGACCCTCTACTAGATGGCCGGTGAATGTATATAATTCTTGTAAATACCCTGTTGTTTTTTTTCAATGATTTGTAAATAGTTTATTTTTATATTAAAATATATTACTTTGTTTAACTAGTCAGACATTTAAAAATGAGATCTGATCATTTTGTTTTCATAAGGTGACTTTGGCATGTTAACCATGGAAATTAATTATATAAAATATACCGGTACACAGCAACTATCTTCAGTTTTAGTCAGATAATTTCAAAAATATGATTGATACCATTTTGATTTCATAATTGCAATCACCATGCATACCCATATGATGTTCCTTTGTTTTATATGTCGCTAGTAAATTGTATCTCTACTGCCTATCAACCTGAATACTGTACCTGGAGCCTATGCAACTTTGAATGGTTTCATGATAGCACAGCATTTAGCGTTTAAATACACATTTTTGTGTAGCTTCTTTTAGAGATATAAACTCTTTTGCAATAAACCCATGTAATGTTGGATATGCTTAAGCAAGGAACATAAAGCTAAATTAATGTCTAAATCTAGCTCAAAGAAAGCCAATATTTACAAAGCAAAATAATAATACAAGAACTGAAATCTTCATTTTTCTCCATTCTTTCTCTGAGTGTTTTAAATGTACATCACTGCTAATAGTTACTCTGCTATACACAAACAAACATATATGAAAACAAATGCGTCATGAGACAGAATATCTACAAGTCGAGGCATTGGGAGTTCATGGAGTCGGTAAACTTCACACAATGATCTGAAATGGCAAAGACCTCAGTTTGTAGCCGGGGCCCAGATCTGTTTGTGCTGTATTGCTAACTCCTATGGTCATTGCCATAAAACACCACAAACAGATCTGGAATCAGACTATAGTCAGCTTGCTCCTTGAAGGGCACTATTCATCCATTTATTTGTGAAGTGCTTTTACTTTTCATCACCCTGTTAGAGTACAAACACTGTACAGTACATGTTCTATACAGTCTCAGTGTCAGTCACCCCTGTTAGTAGAAACGCTATGTGCAATCGTTATGTGAAATAATGTTTTATAATCTAAATAATTGGAAATATCTATTATCTTTTAATATATATGTAAGTTTGTTTTTAGTACTGTATATATATATATATATATAAATGATTGATTGCAACCTTTAAAATCTATATAAATCAGTATTTGTACTCCCCCACCTACACACAAACCCCAACGGGTCTATGAATATAAATGTAACTCCCTTCTTCACCTTTTAAAACATCATAACTTAAACTCCTGAACGAGGAGTGGCAGTCTTTAACATAACATTGTTATTACGTTCTACAAAAATAGCAACATTCATTTTTTTCTTCCTTTTTTAAAATCTAAACTATCTTTACAAAAATATAGCACAATAACATGTCCAAGTGCAAAATATTGCCAAGATTCAACATTTGTCTCATGTCTGAAAGGTTAAGATTTGAACTGATGAAAACAAAAACTACTACGGTGAATTGCACAAAACAAACTATTTTTCAGATGGAATAGATGAAAGTGGAGGCTGCGGAGGGGAGGACGGCTCATAGTAATGGCTGAAACAGAGCAAATGGAATGGCATCAAACACCTGGAAACCATGCGTTTGATGTATTTGATACCATTCCACTTATTTCCTCTCCAACCATTACCACGAGCCCATCCTCCCCAATTAAGGTGCCACCAACCTCCTGCGTCGTCCAATATAAATGATTTGCCTCCCCACTAAAAACCATGTGCTGGGTTGAGTATGACCACTGTGCATTTGACCCTGGTAACCAGGGTTAGGGTCAATTCCACTTCAATTCAGTCAATTCAGGAAAATACACTGACATTCCAATTCGTCTTTGTTTTGAAAATTAGAATCGGAATTGAAATAGAACAATTAGAATCAGTTTACTTCCTGAATTTAAATGATATTGACCCTGCTGGTAACCGCTACTTGTTGATGATGGTAGATTACTTGATGCTGATTTGTTCCTTGGTGCAATAATAAAGAATTGAAACAGATCATTTCTACATTCATGTAGTGCTGAGCGATTAGTGCTTTTTGAGGTCGGTTTGAATTCGGTTCGATTATTTAAAAAAATATTCACAGTTTTCGATGATCTTTTTAGACATTAAATGCACTATACATTATGTGGGTTGAATGCTGTAACAACACAGAATAAAACAATTAATAAAAGTCCCATGATGGTTGTGACTGCCCATTACTGCTTATCACTTATTAACCATCATTCATCCACATTACTTTACTTTAATAAAATATTTGCTTTATTTGATGACTTTATTATTTCATTCCAAGTCATTATCTCATATAGAGCTGCTGCCTATTCTGTCTGACAAAATCACTATTTTAGTAGTTCTTCAAAGCAAATAAGGCATACTTTTATGACCGCTAAATACTATCAATCACTTAGATCATGTATTTTCAGGCTCGCGAAGCAACTGCTTTCTATCTCTCTCGATTGCGCGTTCTCTCTCCTCTCAGTCTCCGTGTCTTGCTCCACACAGACCGGACAAGGTTAAGCGGGCACACAATGGATTATGGTCATTGTACGTAGTTTATTACCACGTTTTCTGCGCTAAACTATGTAGAATATTGGCCTGTTAGAAACTACAACTCCCTACTACATCACAGTTTGAGGCTTGATCTGATTTAACTCTACAGAAATTGCACACAGAAATGGAATTCAAATAATTGAACCGACGAAAAATAACAGTTATTCTCTCAGCACTGCATTATGACATTATTATTAGTTTTATCGTACCACTAGACACGAGACACAGAGTTTCGAAGGGCCAATGCAATCGTCATGGCAGAAGGCCCCACACCCTTTACACATTATCATAGCTTTGAGTCGGCAGTAGCATTTAGACTGAACGTTCTCTATACCAGATCCCTCCATAAACCCCTGCTCTGGAGACCCCTCCCCCTGGCTGCTGTGGTCCAATGGGTGACCGGCAGGTATGGTGGTGACGGTCACTGAGAAAGACATGACACTGCCGGTGCCACTGCCACTGTCCCCACCACTACCTGACACAGAGGGGGAGGCGCTGGAAGCGGTGCCTGAAGCAGCAGCACTGTGGTGAGGTACAGACATGCTGATGGTGCCACCGTAGCAGGAACCCACCATGGATTCCTGATTATCGATTGGAGGTCTCTGGATTTGAAAGGCAGACGGACGCTGGTGAGTACTGGGGTGACTGGGGTCCATGGTCCCCACATGGGGAGATACAGATAAACGATATGGCTCGGAATGACCACCCTGTTTAGTATTGCAGAGTTCCGGGTGCCTCCTGTGCTGTGATTGTGATTGGGTGAAAGGGTTGGTTTCTTTGGCTCTTGCAGAAGTGCCACTGTCTCTATCTGTACCGGCTGAACTGTTGTCCTCCTGCTCCGGTAGACAGCCCCCCACTGATGGAGACTCAGACATTACTCTGGAGCAGTGTTGAAAGCCCAGAGCTTCATCCATTTTTGTGATTGAGAAGCCCTGCTCTTCCATCTTCACTCCAGCAGGGTTAGAATGAGAATGAGACTTATTCTCCACTGACTCCTCCCCTTCCCCCTCAATGTGCTCTCTCTTTAGATTGGTCAGTGGGGTCAGTGAGGTGTTAGCGGTGGTCAATGGGTGGGAGCGTTTACTGCTCTCTGAGCCTCGTCCGTACGTGGAGACATTGAGGAGGTAGTGCCCTGACATGGCAGGCCTGGACATCCTCTTCCGTCCAGGGAACCCTGCTGAGAACCGAAGACGGTCCACACACTCCTTCTGGTGCCCCAGATTACAAGCTCCGAACTGGGCAGGCTGAGCCCTGCCTGAGACCCCATATGGCTGGTTCTGGTGCTGCTGGGTGGCCCTCTGCATCAGAGTCTGGAGGATCTGTTCCTGGATGTCTTTGTTAGGTGTTTCCCTTGGATGGCGCTGGAGCTCTGCCAACATACCTGCTCTTGTTCCAGGTATGGTGGAAGTGGACTGGCCTATGGATCCTTGCTGTTCAGATCTACTGTAGTCCTCTACACCACCAGCGTGTAGGTATTGGCTCTGATTCTCACCACCGGCTGTCCCAGCAGTGCTGTGGGACTTTATCGTCCCTTTGTCATCATGGGAGGGTTTGGCCTGGGCCATCTGGACCTCTGCGTTGGCCAGCGGCTTGGGGAGGATCTGTTCCAGAGGAACCTCTTTCCCCTGGAGGAGAGAGGTGACCAGAGGGTTGTTGGCTGGGATGAAGTGGCTAGCCCTGGCTGCCATGGAGCCTCCAGATACACCAGATACATACTGGCTCTTCACACCACACACAGATGAGGTGTAGCTAGAGGTTGACTGGGGACCTGGTGGGTATGACGTATGTTGAATGTTCCCATGTTGAGGGCCCATCAGAGAACCTGGGTTCATAAGACTATCGGAGTAGCCTCTCTGTTGGTCATCAGTGAGAGACACTCTACCGGTGTTGGAGCTTCTTTGAGACAGGCTAAGGTCAAAGGGCACAGAGGAGCCTGATGATTGGACCGAACGGGAGTGGGCTGATGTGATGACTGCATCAGGTGATTGACAGGTAGATTGACCAGTGGTGCTACTTACTGGCAGCCTGGTGATTGACTGAGACTGGGTGGAGCTGTGGGTGGAGGAGGAGGGTCTGGAGTGGAGGGTCTGGGCTGAAGCTCTATGGGTTCTCTGCTCTACATTGCCTCCTCCTGGTCCCGGGCCTGGTACTGCACCTTTAGAGGAGGAGCTGGCTGCAGCAGCTGCTGCTGCACGCTGGGCCCGGGCTAGCTGAGCTTTAGCCTTGATGTCAGCCAGAGTGCGAGCACCAGTGCGTCCGGGGCTGGGGCCAGGGCTGAGGGGGAGAGGGGTTCTGGGGGACACCTGGGTTGGAGATGCAGGGACTGATAGGATTCGTGACACAGGAATCTGAAAAAGAAAGTGAACAAGAAAGAACTCAAGATGAACATGTGTGGGCCTTCCTGGTGGTAGGAGACACAGTTGGTCTAAATATATTTGTACCTGATGTTTTTATTCACCACAAATACATTTCAATATACAATATTTAATTGTAAAAATAATTACTATATTTACCTTAAGCGGAGGCACTCTCTGTGCTGTTGTTATGGTGGTTGCTGGAGAGGTTACCACGGATGTGATGCGGGCCCTCTTCTCTGGAGTCAGCTCTACTTCCTGTTCACTGGATGAGGACTTCCTTTTCAACGGCTCCGGGGATGGGGTGGTGGATATGGGGGTAGATACAGGGGTGGATACAGGAGTGGATACAGGGGTGGATACGGGGGTGGATACGGGGGTGGATACGGGGGTGGATACGGGGGTGGATACGGGGGTGACTGACACTGAGACTGAGGTGCCTCTCTCTGGTGCAACATCTACATCTTCCCTCCTCTCCCCACTGTGCTTGTCCAAGCCCAGAGGCTCTGGCTTTGGAAGGTCGGTCAGCAGTGACGATCTGAGCTTCTTCTGGGGGCAGACCTCTGGATGATTCTCCTGGGCAGGGGACTGTGGGACCTCAGGGGACTGGGGGGTCTCCGGCTGGGCCTCTTTCAACTCCTGTTCCTCTTCCTCCTTCTGCTTCTCCCCAAGTGGAGTAACCATTGAGGTTGAGTCCACCACATCTTGTCTCCTCACAACAGGTGCCTCCACTGCCATTATAGGCAGGGATAAACCTCTGCTACGAGTCCTGTGTCTGGGGTACTCAACCTCCAGTGTCTTCTGTACATTTTTCGGTAATAGAACTGGTGGGACAACGGGTGGGACTGGTACTGGTTCTTCCTGAACAGGCTCTGGTTCCGGTCTTGGCTTGGAAGGCTCTATGGGTTTAGATGGAGGTTCTATTGGTTTACATGTAGGGTTTATAGGCAGTGATGATGATCGGAGCCTCCTCTCTGAAAAACGAGTATGGCAGCTGTTCTCAGGGACCTTGGGATCTTGCAATGCTTGGCCAGCAGGACTTGGCTGTGTTGGAGGAGACGACTGGGGTTTGGTGGCTGAGAGCTCCAGACTAAGACCAGACTCAAGCAACTCTTTGGATTCCTCTAAGCTGAGTCCAGAGCTGGATAGGAAGAGAAAGAGAAAGAGAAAGAGAAAGAGAAAGAGAAAGAGAAAGAGAAAGAGAAAGACAGAGAGAGAGAGAGAGAGAGATATTTGATCCCCTGCTGATTTTGTACGTTTGCCCACTGACAAAGAAAGGATCAGTCTATACTTTTAATGGTAGGTTTATTTGAACAGTGAGAGACAGAATAACAACAAAAAAATCCAGGAAAACGCATGTCAAAAATGTTATAAATTGATTTGCATTTTAATGAGGGAAATAAGTATTTGACCCCTTCTCAATCAGAAAGATTTCTGGCTCCCAGGTGTCTTTTATACAGGTAACGAGCTGAGATTAGGAGCACACTCTTAAAGGGAGTGCTCCTAATCTCAGCTCGTTACCTGTATAAAAGACACCTGTCCACAGAAGCAATCAATCAATCAGATTCCAAACTCTCCACCATGGCCAAGACCAAAGAGCTCTCCAAGGATGTCAGGGACAAGATTGTAGACACAAGGCTGGAATGGGCTACAAGACCATCGCCAAGCAGCTTGGTGAGAAGGTGACAACAGTTGGTGCGATTATTCGCAAATGGAAGAAACACAAAATAACTGTCAATCTCCCTCGGCCTGGGGCTCCATGCAAGATCTCACCTCGTGGAGTTGCAATGATCAAGAGAACGGTGAGGAATCAGCCCAGAACTACACGGGAGGATCTTGCCAATGATCTCAAGGCAGCTGGGACCATAGTCACCAAGAAAACTATTGGTAACACACTACGCCGTGAAGGACTGAAATCCTACAGCGCCCGCAAGGTCCCCCTGCTCAAGAAAGCACATATACAGGCCCGTCTGAAGTTTGCCATTGAACATCTGAATGATTCAGAGGAGAACTGGGTGAAAGTGTTGTGGTCAGATGAGACCAAAATCGAGCTCTTTGGCATCAACTCAACGTGTTTGGAGGAGGAGGAATGCTGCCTAAGACCCCAAGAACATCATCCCCACTGTCAAACATGGAGGTGGAAACATTATGCTTTGGGGTGTTTTTCTGCTAAGGGGACAGGACAACTTCACCGCATCAAAGGGACGATGGACGGGGACATGTACCATCAAATCTTGGGTGAGAACCTCCTTCCCTCAGCCAGGGCATTGAAAATGGGTCGTGGATGGGTATTCCAGCATGACAATGACCCAAAACACACAGCCAAGGCAACAAAGGAGTGGCTCAAGAAGAACCACATTAAGGTCCTGGAGTGGCCTAGCCAGTCTCCAGACCTTAATCCCATAGAAAATCTGTGGAGGGAGCTGAAGGTTCGAGTTGCCAAACGTCAGCCTCGAAACCTTAATGACTTGGAGAAGATCTGCAAAGAGGAGTGTGACAAAATCCCTCCTGAAATGTGTGCAAACCTGGTGGCCAACTACAAGAAACGTCTGACCTCTGTGATTGCCAACAAGGGTTTTGCCACCAAGTACTAAGTCATGTTTTGTAGAGGGGTCAAATACTTATTTCCCTCATTAAAATGCAAATCAATTCATAACATTTTTGACATGCATTCTTTTCTGGATTATTTTGTTGTTATTCTGTCTCTCACTGTTCAAATAAACCTACTATTAAAATTATAGACTGATCATGTCTTTGTCAGTGGGAAAACGTACAAAATCAGCAGGGGATCAAATACTTTTTTCCCCCTCACTGTATGCAAGCAGAGCCTTGCAGGTAAAAAAATCTTGAATGACATAACAATAACTGCCTTGTATTTTAAAGATTCCAGCCCTGAAAAATGACTTACTTTTCACCATAGTAGCTCTCAAAGAAGCTTTCCTTCCAATGCTCCACCTTCTTCTCCTTCTCAATCTCCTGACGCATTCTCAGCTGCAACTCAGGAGTGAACTCACCTTGGTGGTGTGGAAAATATAAAAATTTAAAAAGGTTTACGAGACATTTAAAAAACGTGTTACTGGAAACATGAAAAAGATCATGTTTAATAAAAAGTTTTAAAAGGTGAGTAATAACACATTTCTTCCATGTTCTATTTTGAAGCAGAAGCACAGTAGCCTGGTCCAAGATTTGTTTGTGGCGTCTTGCCAATGGTAATTATCATGCCATTGACAATTGGCAAGACAGCACAAACAGATCCGGGACCAGGCTTGAAGCACTGACCTTCTGCCAGTCGTTCCTTCCAGGACTGAGCTGCTGATGTGAAAAACTCATTGTTCAAGGCAGAACTGGTGACCTTCAACAGACCATCCATACAGGCCTAGAGATACAGACAGAGATAACTTATGTACATCATCATCACAAGCTGCAGCATCATTATCACTATCATAATCATCATCTTTGTCAATGTGATAATCATTATCAGCATCATTTTCAATATCATCAACATCATCATCATCGTCATTATCATAATCAGTACATAAAGAGAGATGAGAGACTCACCATGCAATTATTTCCTGCAAATACCTTGTGGATGATTACAGAAATTAATCTCAAGTTGAGTCTCTTGGTTTTAAACCTCTTTCGCGCTAGAGACCTTATGGTGTCTAGTATAACCCCACCTGTTGGTCGACCTCAGGCAGTAGTGTGAGTAGCCTCTGTTGGCACTCTGTGGGCAGGACAGAGAAGGTGTGTTTGTTGATCAGGGCACGCAGGTTGGTGTTAACCAGGATAGAGTCTGGTGTCTCAACGTCTATCTCTGCACACTTGGTACGCTTCAGTTGCCCTGGAGACAACAACACAAGAGGAGATAAATCCACTGTAAATCATACAAAAGAACAAGAAAGGATACAGAGACTTAGTCCCATCTGTTTGTGCTGTAGCCAACTCCTATGGTTGTTGTTATGTTTGGCATGTCAATGACCATGGGAGTTGGCAAGACAGCACAAACAGATCTGGGACCAGGCCAACAGAGACTGGCATGTACCGTATAAGCCTACTATATCTAAATGACAAAGATAGGCTGGATGAGTCTACTACAGAGGCGGCAGGTAGCCTAGCGGTTAAGAGCGTTGGGCCAGTGACTGAAAGGTCGCTGGTTCGAATCCTGGAGCCGACTGGGTGAAACATCTGCCGATGTGCCCTTAAGCATGGCACTTAACCCTAATTGCTCCAATAAGTCTGCGTCTGTTAAATGACTCAAATGTAGGATCTTGTCGTGGCAGTAACACGATATTGCCTCAGCAGTATTTAAATGGGCGATCATGCTGCTGCGGTATATGGATGCAAATTCTATTAAACTTCCATCTGGAATGTCTGAAATATGTAGTACTTACGTGCACTGAGTCGATTGGACCTCTGAGACATCTTCCTGGTACCAGAGGCAGGACAGGGTTCTGTTTGGATGGAGAGTGAGGAACATTTGATTTGATTTAAACACAACTCAGCCACACAAGTGGATACACTGCATTTAAAAAAATTATAACTGGATAAGAAAGCTATGACTACAGTGCTTTGTGTATAAAGGTAGAGACTAGTGTGAGATGATCATTGATCATCATCGATAGTGATTGTTAGTGTTTCCTGTAGGCTTCTACCTATGATATACAGTGCATTCGGAAAGTATTCAGACCCCTTGACTTTTTCCACATTTTACAGCCTTGAGTCTTCATGGGTATGACGCTACAAGCTTAGCACACCTGTATTTGGGGAGTTTCTCCCATTCTTCTCTGCAGATCCTCTCAAGCTCTGTCAGGTTCGATGGGGAGCGTCGCTGCACAGCTATTTTCAGGTTTCTCCAGAGATGTTCGATCAGGTTCAAGTCCAGGCTCTGGCTGGGCCACTCAAGGACATTTAGAGACTTGTCACGAAGCCACTCCTGCTTTTTCTTGGCTGTGCTTAGGGTCGCTGTCCTGTTGGAAGGTGAACCAGTCTGAGGTCCTGAGCGCTCTGGAGCAGGTTTTCATCAATGATCTCTCTGTACAGTCGTGGTCAAAAGTTTTGAGAATGACACAAATATTAATTTTCACAAAGTCTGCTGCCTCAGTTTTTATGATGGCAATTTGCATATACTCCAGAATGTCATGAAGAGTGATCAGATGAATTGCAATCAATTGCAAAGTCCCTCTTTGCCATGAAAATGAATTTAATCCCCCAAAAAACATTTCCACTGCATTTCAGCCCTGCCACAAAAGGACCAGCTGACATCATGTCAGTGATTCTTTCGTTAACACAGGTGAGAGCGTTGACGAGGATAAGGCTGGAGATCACTCTGTCATGCTGATTGAGTTAGAATAACAGACTGGAAGCTTTAAAAGGAGGGTAGTGCTTGAAATCATTGTTCTTCCTCTGTTAACCATGGTTACCTGCAAGGAAACACATGCCGTCATCATTGCTTTGCACAAAAAGGGCTTCACAGGCAAGGATATTGCTGCTAGTAAGATTGCACCTAAATCAACCATTTATCGGATCATCAAGAACTTCAAGGAGAGAGGTTCAATTGTTGTGAAGAAGGCGTCAGGGCGCCCAAGAAAGTCCAGCAAGCGCAAGGACCGTCTCCTAAAGTTGATTCAGCTGCGGGATCGGGGCACCACCAGTGCAGAGCTTGCTCAGGAATGGCAGCAGGCAGGTGTGAGTGCATCTGCACGCACAGTGAGGCGAATACTTTTGGAGGATGGCCTGGTGTCAAGAAGGGCAGCGAGGAAGCCACTTCTCTCCAGGAAAAACATCAGGGACAGACTGATATTCTGCAAAAGGTACAGGGATTGGACTGCTGAGGACTGAGGTAAAGACATTTTCTCTGATGAATCCCCTTTCCGATTGTTTGGGGCATCCGGAAAAAAGCTTGTCCGGAGAAGACAAGGGGAGCGCTACCATCAGTCCTGTGTCATGCCAACAGTAAAGCATCCTGAGACCATTCATGTGTGGGGTTGCTTCTCAGCCAAGGGAGTGGGCTCACTCACAATTTTGCCTAAGAACACATCCATGAATAAAGAATGGTACCAACACATCCTCCGAGAGCAACTTCTCCCAACCATCCAAGAACAGTTTGGTGATGAACAATGCCTTTTCCAGCATGATGGAGCAACTTGCCATAAGGCAAAAGTGATAACTAAGTGGCTAGGGGAACAAAACATCGACATTTTGGGTCCATGGCCAGGAAACTCCCCAGACCTTAATCCCATTGAGAACTTGTGGTCGACCCTCAAGAGGCGGGTGGACAAACAAAAACCCACAAATTCTGACAAACTCCAAGCATTGATTATGCAAGAATGTGCTGCCATCAGTCAGGATGTGGCCCAGAAGTTAATTGACAGCATGCCAGGGCGGATTGCAGAGGTCTTGAAAAAGAATGGTCAACACTGCAAATATTGACTCTTTGCTTGTAATTATACTTCAGTATACCACAGTAACATCTGACAAAAATATCTAAAAACACTGAAGCAGCAAACTTTGTGAAGACCAATACTTCTGTCATTCCCAAAACGTTTGACCACGACTGTACTTTGCTACGTTCATCTTTCCCTCAATACTGACTAGTTTCCCATTCCCTGCCGCTGAAAAACATCCCAACAGCATGATGCTGCCACCACCATGCTTCACCGTAGGGATGGTGCCAGGTTTCCTCCAGATGTGACGCTTGGCATTCAGGCCAAAGAGTTCAATCTTGGTTTCATCAGACCAGAGAATCTTGTTTCTCATGGTCTGAGAGTCCTTTAGCTGCCTTTTGGCAAACTCCAAGTGGGCTGTCATGTGCCATTTACTGAGGAGTGGATTATGTCTGTCCACTCTACTATAAAGGCCTGATTGGTGGAGTGCTGCAGAGATGGTTGTCCTTCTGGAAGGTTCACCCATCTCCACAGAGAAACTCTGGAGCTCTGTCAGAGTGACCATCAGGTTCTTGGTCACCTCCCCCGATTGCTCAGTTTGGCCAGGCGGCCAGCTCTGGGAAGAGTCTTGGTGGTTCCAAACTTCTTCCATTTAAGAATGATGGAGGCCACTGTGTTCTTGGGGACCTTAAATGATGCAGACATTTTTTGGTACCCTTCTCCAGATCTGTACCTCGACACAATCCTGTCTCGGAGCTCTACGGACAATTCCTTAGACCTCATGGGTTGGTGTTTGCTCTGACATGCACTGTCAACTGTGGGACCTTATATAGACAGGTGTGTGCCTTTCATATCATGTCCAATCAATTGAATTTACCACAGGTGGACTTCAATCAAGTTGTAAAAACATCTCAAGGATGATCAATGGAAATAGGATGCACCAGAGCTCAATTTCGAGTCTCATAGCAAAGGGTCTGAATACTTATCTAAATGTCATATTTCCATTTTATTTTTTTATACATTTGCAAAAATGTCTAAAAAACGTTTCACTTTATGGGGTATTGTGTGTAGATTGATTAGGAAATGTTTTATGTAATACATTTTAGAATAAGGCTGTAACGTAACAAAATGTGGAAAAAGTCAAGGGGTCTTACTTTCCGAATGCACTGTAGCTACAGTGAGCTCCAAAAGTATTGGAACAGTGACACATGTTTTGCTGTTTTGGCTCTGTACTCCAGCACTTTGGATTTGAAATGATACAATGACAATGGAGGATAAAGTGCAGACTGTCAGCTTTAATTTGAGGGTATTTTCATCCATATTGGGTAAACCGTTTAGAAATTACAGCACATTTTGTACATAGTCCCCTAATTTTATTGTCAATAAGAATATAACGTTTCTAAACAATTCTACATGAATGTGTATGCTACCATGATTACGGATAATCCTGAATGAATCGTGAATAATGATGCGTGAGAAAGTTAGAGGCATAAATATCATACCCTCCCAAAAATGATAACCTCCCCTGTTATTGTATTGGTGAGAGGTTAGCATGTCTTGGGGGTATCGTATTTGTGTCTAACATTGTCATTCATCATTATTCACGATTCAGTCAGGACTATCCGTAAACATCGTAGCATCCACATTAATGTAGAAGTGTTTAGAAACATATTATATTCTTATTTACAATAAATGTAACTCCTAAATTACACAATACCATTTACCATTCATTTCTATTGGGCACAAAATAATCTGAAACACAACCAAAACAAAAGCTTGATGTAGTCCTTGCGTGCTAGGAATATGGGACCAAATACTTTAACTTTTTACTACTTTATTACACATAAGTGAATTTGTCCCAATACTTTTGGTCCCCTAAAATGGGGGGACTAAGTGCCGTAATCTCTAAACGGTTCACCCGATATGGATGAAAATACCCTCAAATTAAAGCTGACAGTCTGCACTTTAACCTCCATAGTCATTGTATCATTTCAAATCCAAAGTGCTGGAGTATAGACCCAAAACAACAACAACAACATTGCCACTGTCCTAATACTTTTGGAGCTCATATACTGTATATGTCTATGTCTGCCACCTACCGGTCTTAGTGGCAATGGTGTCAGCCATGTCCTTTACGTTCTTGATGAGCAGTCTCGGGCTGGAGGTGGTGGGCATGCCCCCCTGTCTCCGCTGGTTCCTCTGCTGCTGCTGCTTCAGGGCCTGTGGGACAGAGAAGAGGGAGAAGGAAAAGAGGAATAAAGAAAGGAACAGATTATTTACCAGTGCTGTCATAATTTTTGTAAAAAAAATGTGTTAACCTTTATTTAACTAGGCAAGTCGATTAAGAACAAATTCCAAAAAGAATTTAATGAAACTGGTTACAATTGACGGAGTCACGATTCATGATTCACCAAATGATATTTTGAAGGAGGAAACAAAGTACTTTAAGCATATGTTTTCATTTCAGTCACCTCCATCTCCTTTAACTGAAGCTAATTGTAGAGATTTTTTTTCTATTGATAATGTAAAATTAACAGCCATACAGAAAGACTCATGTGAAAGTGAAATTACATTGGAGGAACTTCTGGATGCAATTAAAGACTTTAAGTCTGGGAAAACTCCGGGGTTGGATGGCATACCAGTCGAGGTATACCAAACCTTTTTTGATATACTAAGAGGACCGTTATTAGCATGTTTTAACCACTCCTATGTAAATGGTAGATTATCTGACACTCAAGAAGAAGGTCTGATCTCATTATTACTGAAACAGGATACAAGTGGAAAAAATAAAGATCCAGTCCATTAAAAAAATTGGAGGCCCCTTACACTTCAGTGTTGTGATGCAAAAATTCTAGCAAAATGTATAGCGCATAGAAATAAAAAGGTATTGTTGGATATTATTCATTCTAATCAGACAGGTTTTTTACATGGAAGATACATTGGAGATAATATAAGGCAAGTATTGGAAACAATAGTACACTATGGAAAATCTGGGAAACCAGGCCTGCTATTCATAGCAGACTTCGAAAAGGCATTTGATAAAGTACAACTGGGGTTTATATATAAATGCCTGGAGCATTTCAATTTTGGAGAATCTCTTATAAAATGGGTCAAAATCATGTATAGTAACCCTAGGTGTAAAATAGTAAATAATGGCTATTTCTCAGAAAGTTTTAAACTGTCAAGAGGAGTGAAACAAGGTTGTCCACTATCGGCATATCTATTTATTGTGGCCATCGAGATGTTAGCTATTAAAATCAGATCCAACAATAATATCAGGGGATTAGAAATCCAGTGCTTAAAAACAAAAGGTGTCATTGTACGCTGATGATTCATGTTTTCTTTTAAATCCACAACTAGAATCCCTCCACAGCCTCATAGAGGATCTAGATACATTTTCTAACCTCTCTGGATTACAACCAAATTATGACAAATGTACCATATTCCGTATTGGATCACTAAAAAATTAAAAATTTACATTACCATGTAGTTTACCAATAAAATTGTCTGATGGTGATGTGGATATACTCAGAATACATATCCCAAAGGAAATAAATGATCTCACTTCAATACATTTTAATAGAAAGTTAGCAAAAATAGATAAGATCTTGCTACCATGGAATGATGTCTTGCTACTGATGGTGATGTGGAAAAAACTCTTTAGTATTATCCCAGCTTACCTATTTGCTTATGATCTTGCCTACGCCTAGCGAACAGTTTTTTAAATTATATGAGAAAAAAATATTCCATTTTATTTGGAACGGCAAGCCAGACAAAATTAAACGGGCCTATTTATATAATGAATATGAATTCGGAGGACAGAAATTATTAAATATTAAAGCATTAGACCTATCACTAAAAGCTTGTCATACAAAAGTTATACTTAAATCCGAACTGGTTCGCCAGCAAATTAGTAAGATTGTCTCACCCAATGTTCAAGAATGGCCTTTTTCACTTTCAGTTATTTGAAAAGGAAATCATCTCCCAAATATCACTATTTCTAAAACAAGCCATAGAAAGTTGGTTGCAATTTCAATTTAATCCTCCAAAAACGACAGAACAAATAATGCAACAAATACTGTGGTTAAACTCAAATATACTAATTGACAAAAAATAAAAAAATGTTTGACAAAATGTTTCAAAAAGGTATAATCTTCGTAAATGATATCATCGGTAGGACTGGTGGAGTTATGTCGCACATGCAGCTAACAAAAACATATGGAAATGTCTGCTCTACCCAAAATTACAACCAAATAATTGCAGCCTTAACGCAAAAATGGAAGAGGAAAGTGGAAGGGGGAGAAAGTAAGGAACTTGTCTGTAGGCCTTGCATTAAAGAACATACAGTGAGGGAAAAAAGTATTTGATCCCCTACTGATTTTGTACGTTTGCCCACTAACAAAGACATGATCAGTCTATAATTTTAATGGTAGGTGTATTTGAACAGTGAGACAGAATAAGAACAAAAAATTGCAGAAAAGCGCATGTCAAAAATGTTATAAATTGATTTGCGTTTTAATGAGGGAAATAAGTATTTGACCCCTCTGCAAAACATGACTTAGTACCTGGTGGCAAAACCCTTGTTGTCAATCACAGAGGTCAGACGTTTCTTGTAGTTGGCCACCAGGTTTGCACACATCTCAGGAGGGATTCTGTTCCACTCCTCTTTGCAGATCTTCTCAAAGTCATTAAGGTTTTGAGGCTGATGTTTGGCAACTCGAACCATCAGCTCCCTCCACAGATTTTCTATGGGATTAAGTTCTGGAGACTGGCTAGGCCACTCCAGGACCTTAATGTGGTTCTTCTTGAGCCACTCCTTTGTTGCCTTGGCCGTGTGTTTTGGGTCATTGTCATGCTGGAATACCCATCCACGACCCATTTTCAATGCCCTGGCTGAGGAAAGACGGTTCTCATCCAAGATTTGACGGTACATGGCCCGTCCATCGTCCCTTTGATGCGATGAAGTTGTCCTGTCCCCTTAGCAGAAAAACACCCCCAAAGCATAATGTTTCCACCTCCATGTTTGACGGTGGGGATGGTTTTCGTGGGGTCATAGGCAGCATTCCTCCTCCAAACACGGTGAGTTGAGCTGATGCCAAAGAGCTCGATTTTAGTCTCATCTGACCACAACACTTTCACCCAGTTCTCCTCTGAATCATTCAGATGTTCATTGGCAAACTTCAGACGGCCTTGTATATGTGCTTTCTTGAGCAGGGGGACCTTGCGGGCGCTGCAGGATTTCAGTCCTTCACGGCGTAGTGTGTTACCAATTGTTTTCTTGGTGACTATGGTCCCAGCTGCCTTGAGATCATTGACAAGATCCTCCCGTGTAGTTCTGGGCTGATTCCTCACCGTTCTCATGATCATTGCAACTCCACGAGGTGAGATCTTGCATGGAGCCCCAGGCCGAGGGAGATTGACAGTTATTTTGTGTTTCTTCCATTTGCGAATAATCACACCAACTGTTGTCACCTTCTCACCAAGCTGCTTGACGATGGTCTTGTAGCTCATTCCAGCCTTGTGTAGGTCTACACAAGGTTCTTCTGTGGACAGGTGTCTTTTATACAGGTAACAAGCTGAGATTAGGAGCACTCCCTTTAAGAGTGTGCTCCTAATCTCAGCTCGCTACCTGTATAAAAGACACCTGGGAGCAAAACATCTTTCTGATTGAGAGGGGGTCAAATACTTATTTCCCTCATTCAAATGCAAATCAATTTATAACATTTTCGACATGCGTTTTTCTGGATTTTTTTGTTGTTGTTCTGTCTCTCACTGTTCAAATAAACCTACCATTAAAATTATAGACTGATCATTTCTTTGTCAGTGGGCAAACGTTCAAAATCAGCAGGGGATCAAATACTTTTTTCCCCTCACTGTAATTGGTTAAGGAAAACTGTGATAAATAAAAAAGTATACCAGTTTCATTTAAGGATAAAAGGATTGACAGCCGTCCCATATAGATTGCAAAATAGTTGGGAAGAGATTTTTGACGTACCGATCCCATGGCATAGTGTTTATGAACTGATACGCAAAACGACACCGGATTCAAAACTTAGAATCTTTCAATTTAAATTATTATATAAAATTATTGCTACCAATAGAATGTTATTTATATGGGGGATACAATCTTCCCAGCTCTGCAGATTTTGCTGCGAAGAGACAGAATCATTAGATCATTTGTTTTGGTACTGTCCATTTGTAGCTTGTTTTTGGACACAGGTCCAGGAATGGCTAAAGGATGGCAATATTTACCTGGAGCTAACCTTGCAGATAGCATTACTGGGTGATCTGAAAAGTCATAGTCAATCGATCAATAATATAATAATACTTTTAGCAAAGATGTTTATTTTCAATTCACAATCTGTAGAAACAATGAGAATAGAAAGGTTCAGAACTTTTGTAAAACATCACAGTACAGTTGAAAAATATATGGCAAATAGAAATCCTATATGGATGGTGTTAAGAGATAGATGGGTGGTGTTGAATGGAGTTGAAGGATGGGACTAATAACAACTAACAACAAATAATAACAAGATAACTAATAATGTAAGCATACTGTGTCCATAATAAGTATATAGGTTGTAGGTTGGGAGCTTTTGTGAAAGAGCACAGTTAGAAAGATATGGCATATAGAAGCAAACCGGATGGACATCATGAAAATGATCGGAGAGGTTGAGAGTAGAAGTAGTTCAGGAGAAAAAACTAACAAAATATAATTATTGTAAAATTGACTGTGTCCATAAAATGTAGATAGTAAGTATAAGCTGGAAGTAGAGGCCTAAGCATTGTTGTTCACTAGTTTACTCCAAGTAGGGAAAGGGTGGTGGGGTTGGAATGTAATAAAGGGGTTATTATTTAATTTTTTTAAGGATATGTATGTGTGTATGTGTGTATGTATGTATGTGTGTATATGTGTATATATAAAACATGGGGGATTGGAAGTGATGCAGACAATTACATTGATGGAAGTTACAATCTATCTGTAATATTAAGCTGATCTACCCCGGCCAAACCCGGACGACGCTGGGCCAATTGTGCGCCGCCCTATGGGACTCCCAATCACAGCCAGATTGTGATACTGCCTGGAATCGAACCAGGGTCTGTAGTGATGCCTCTGGCACTGAGATGCAGTGCCTTAGACCGCTGCGCCACTCGGGAGCCCATTAAGTCTTAGACTGACCCTCTACGTGGCTATTTGAAATGTTTTACCAAATGTCT